TGCTTAGACCCTCGACGGTTACTTACCATCTATAATATTATTGCTCTGTGGATAGCAACAACTACCAAAAGCATTTTTATCTATTATTACACCACATTTGATACCATTTTCACTACAACATCTGACTTGAAATCTTAACTATGATTAATCGGTGATTACATGTATTCAGAATTCATTTCGTATGACTTTATAAGTAACGAGTCATAAGGGTTTTTTTGTTTAGCGATAAACAACTCCAACAACTCCAAAACAAAATGTGTCAAACATTTGAATAAGGATATGCATTTTAGGGGCATTCATCCATGGTAATAAGAAATTAAGGGCTAGGTTTTAACTTTCACTAACCTTGTAATAAGAAATTAAGGACGTGGGATGTGGTAGCTAGCTAGCTACACTACACATGATTGGATTTGGAACAACAACAAATTAGTAAAAAAATAAATGAAATATAATTCCCCTAAAAAAGAAAAAGAAATATTCACAGTACTGGCGCGGCCTCTGTCGTGGGATTAGTTGTCTGGGTGTTAGGTATGTTGGTACCACTCATACCAGGCAGCACAACGTGGGTGACTGACCATCTGACACGTGTGCTTAATGCACCGATAGATAGTCGGCGAGTCCACAGCTCGTACGGTGCAAAGTACCTCTCGCCTTGCATGGACATCCCCAACCCCAAATGATGACAGTTGGACGTGACGATGTTATGTCTGATTCATTTTGAGATTTGTTATTGTGGGGGTTCGATTGACTTGACTTATTTATCTGCTTCCAAAACTAAACTAAAAACAAGTGCAGTTCAGTGCACTTCTTAAGGACCAGGTTTTGTTAAGTGGCCTATCTTTCTGACGAACACGTTGCCTATTTTACAGGTCACTATGCTGAAATTATAATGTTATTTTAACACCTCCATATCCAATAGGAAAATGATGAAAATCCAGATCTGGTTGCGTTTAGATCACACTCAGATTTCATATGGCTTTGTTATTGTTAGGACATCAATCTTTGTGAATATATTGTCAATTGTTGTTGCAATATTTGATTCATATTACCCTTTATTAGATTAGTTACGCTCATTTTCTCAAGAATAAAGTTTCACTCATTCCCCCTCTTATGAGAAATCTTATGTGTATTATAATAGAGAGAAAAAAAACCCTCGTGTCTCGTGTCTATTCATTTTTAAGCGAGAAAAATCTTATGTGTATTGTAACCGATAAAAAGAAAAGTCTTATGTATTTTCATTCGTGAGCGAGAATCCTAGAAATTCATCCCCAAAAAGAAGCAATGTACAAAAAATAAAGTCATTCATACATAGATATATCTATAAAGTGACCTCCTACTACAAATTAAAGTGGTTGGGACTTGGACGGCGGATCTTGGATGAAGCCAACGTTTAGTAGGGTTCCTGTTCCTGTACGGAAATATAATATTGAATGCATGAAGAAGCTGCGTGTATTGTATATATAATATAATATGCAATACCCTGCTAGGCTAGCTGTCAACTTACCCAAAATCTAGAGATATATATTTTGTTGGTGATTTATAGACTGTGACAGTACTGGTATTGGATATATATACATAAATTAATTTGCTTTTGCTGTATACCACTTTCCGACACATGCATGCATATACAGCATATATACATATATTTATACATTAATTCTTGGGGGTTTTTTTTTGGGCTACGCGTATATGCACTTTACATGCTTAATATATCTACGTATATGTACTTTAATTGTGGTCAAAATTTTAAACTAAAAAAATAATATGCCTTTGTTGGCCATTAGAGGACAGATGTTCAAAAGTTGTATGCCCAATAGCAAGCAAAAGTAGCACACAAATTTAGCCATGTATATAAATCCAGCTGATATGGAGCGCACACATATATACCTAGATAATTTATTCTTGTTAATTATTTAGGGTCGATTTGATAATCAATTCAATTTTAGTTTTTAGTTTTATCTTTTTATTATTTTCTTGGATAGATATATATAAGATATACAATCCTGATCTCTTGGACTACAGGGATCCAAGAGATTTGTGGTCACTCACCGTTGGATGTAAATTCAACGATTCACTCACTCTTGTATACCTTTTTAAAAACCTTTTTTGAATCATTGGATTAAAAGAAAAAGAAAAAGCCATATTCTGTAGAAGCTTGACTGTTTCTAACATATATGGTATTAAACAAAGGACAAGCTTTAGACTTTCCAAGGGATCTTTTGTTGTTATTAACCCATCAAACTCTCTTTTGCATTTTAGGATATTCAAGTCAACTTGTGGGACATAGACATTAGCTAGCTCAGCTACAACTTGCGCATGCATGGAAGTTTCAAAAACCATGAGCTTTCCCTTTCGAATACACATATTATTCAATATAATTAGCGCAACAATCCAAATTTATAACTCACTATCATATATCCATCCAAAACACTCCACGTGTGCAAACACATCATCAAAATTATATATATGATAAAAAGCTTGGCCGTTAAGTTACGTTAAGAATTACTTGGATTGGAGGTAGGAAAATTCTATAATGACATAAGTGCTGGCGACTACGTACAAGTCAATCACACTTTCTGTAAACTAACTATGATTTCAAGTGAAAGTGACTACTGGACAATATACTAAGTACAGCGTAGATAATTCCCGTCAAAATTAGAGCGGAAGCGTGCAAGTAATTAAAATTGCAGATTAGCTTAACCAATTGTTTATTTAACCTGGAAAACATCAACCTGCAAGACCTTTATAAAAATAATTACTACTTAATTACTATAGTACGAAACACAATTATGTCGGAGGACTATGTTACGCGTAAATACACCAACACTTGTTCAAATTACGATCAAGTCAAAAGGAAAATGCTATCAAATACCACCACTATTGCTGTCGCAATGTCTGCAAAAGTACCCATCACTTTAAGAACTTGACAACATCGAAAATATCAAATACTTAATATGAAATTATTTACTATTGATAGAATGGACAACGTATTTAAGTCATATAGATATTGTGGGAGTAAATATCTCGGCTTTCAATCACAAGGCATCATGTGGACAAGAAGAATATCTTAAATATGGATATTAATTGAGCCCCTTTATTTGGCAAATTAATTGACGCTAAAGATAAGGAAAAGATAATATCACCAATTAAGATACTATCCTAATTTAGAGATATCATCATCAATTAGTGATTTGATCAAATCTCTACAATTTGGGGAAATAATATATTAGAGATTATTTTTTGAAAAACCCTAGATGCCTAGAACTCTATAAATACATGGCTACATTCAACACATAAGGTAATTCAAAACTCAATTCCAAAACCCTACAAAAATTCCAGTTTGATTTTACAGGAATCAAGAAAGAGAGAAAAGGAAGTTCTAGAGACAACGGATCTTCAAGCGAATATTATTGCGTGAGAACATTTGCACAGGCAAATATAATGAGGTTATTTGTTACCATTTGATAGCATTTCCCACAAGATAATGTTAGAGAACAAAATCATCCGAACACAATTTACACTTTTGGTTTTCATTTTATGTGACGGTACTCAAAAGCTTCAGGTTATAAAAAATAAGAGGTGGTTATATTATTTGTTATTTTCTATTTTAGTAATTATAATTTGAAAAAGGTATAGTGATTCTTTGGTATAATCATTTTGTCAGGAATTTTTAGTACAAGCGCCTATGAAGATTATTATTTGTATATGAACTCCTACAATTTCTTAGAAGGAGGTGAAGAAAACAATGGTTTAATAATACTCAAATTTTCGTTTTTGTTTTAGAACTTTCAAATTTCGGTTCTTTTCCCCGTAAAACCCCCATCACCACGTGGTTGGAAAATGGACTCTCTCTCTCTCTCTCTCTCTCTCTCTCTCTCTCTCTCTCTCTCCGATGTCCTATATATAAGCATGAATGAAAAGTCGAGTTTGAAAAGCACAAGAGCTTTGTACAGCAAGGAGGAAAGAGAGAACTAACTCTTCTTTTTATTTCTCTTGTATTATTATCCAACCCTCTCAAACAAATCCAACTTCTCCATCACCCACCATTCAAATTCGGAACTTTCTTTTCTATTAATACACAATAATCCATTTCTGCTCTTTCGTTGGCTCGCAAATCCTCCTTAAGGTAAGAATCCCCCCTTCATTCTATAAATGATCTCCTTTTCGCTCTTCTTTTTATTCTTGTAGTTTGTTTGTTTGGTGTTTGGTCTGTGAGGAGGCACAAATGGTAAAAGTTTCTTTCTTAGGTGAAAGTTGGTTTTTTTAATGCTCTTCTGATGAACTGGGTGTTGTGGGTTTTGATCTTAATCTCATGGGAATGTGCTTGTTTTCCAGTGATTTTTGTTTGAATTTTAGCTATCTGGTAATGGGTTTTGTGGATCCCTGCTCTTTGTTTAATGGGTTTGTATGCCGGGTTTGATCCAAGATGGTTAATAAATTAATCATTTTATGTGGAAATGGTATCAAAATGGAATAGAATCCTCTGTTGAGTGATGTTTGTTTGTCCTTTTTCTTAGAAACTAAGAATTTTTGGTAATGGGTTCTGTAGATTTATGGTCTTTTTCAATGGGTTCTATATCAGTATAAAATGAGACCATTCTTGGCGACAGGACTATACTGTTTATATCTTACCTTAACTTGTTTACATTGGTAGATTTTACCATATAGACAATGAGTGCTATTAGAAGAAAATGGATTTCATGGGCTTTCATTGATTGAAAACAGTTGCAGTTTCATCCGGATGTATACCTGATATTCTTGTAGGTTTTATAGATATAAGCTGTTTTCATAGTAGGATTGTCTGATGATGGATTCTTATCCATGTTTGGGTTAATTAAACTGCATGTTTACATTGATAAAAGCTGGATTTAGTACCTTCTGTGATGCTTTTCTGTTATACAAGGCATTGCCAGATATGAAATATTCACTGAATCTCATTCTTTCTCTTTTTTCTCAGGAGTCCGAAATCTCTGGGTTGATAAAACCCTCTCTGTTGTCAAATGGGAATTTCCTTTTCCTGCCCATTTGCTGAGCACACCGATTTGGAAAGTGGGTTAGAATCAATAATTGTAAAGTCCATCAGCTTTGGGGATGATGAAGTGAAAACTCCAGTTAGATCAGTCAGTTTCAAAAGTGGTGATACAGAACCCACAATAATGAAATCTTTAGGCTCTGGAAAGATGACACTAGAAACTTCTGTTAGCTTTAAAGGGAACGAGTTAGAGAAAATGGTACGGGTTAAGGTTCCTTCATTAGAAGAGAGCATGAGCACCGCTTCACTCAGTCCCCTTATCAAAGAAATGAACATTGCACCAATCAGCCCCATCAGCAAAGAGATGAACATTCAATCCCCAAGATCAGATAGTTCGCCGGGGATTATCCAACCCTTGCAATTTCCACATCCCGCCAGCCCCAAACACATGGCCGCAATTAAATTGCAAAAAGTATACAAAAGCTTCCGAACCAGACGAAAGCTAGCAGATTGTGCAGTTCTTGTTGAACAGAGCTGGTATGTATTTCATTGTCATGTGCTAATCTTGTCAATTTGTGCAAAAAATTTATGTGTTTCTATCTTATTTAATTCAAAATTTTGTAATAATATAGGTGGAAGCTTTTAGATTTCGCTGAGCTCAAGCGGAGTTCTATATCATTCTTTGAAATTGAGAAACATGAAACTGCCATCTCACGTTGGTCTAGAGCAAGGACCAGAGCTGCGAAGGTAACTTTTTAACAGATTTGTATGCTAGACTTTAAGTTTTTTGTAATTTGTTCAGAAAATTAAGCATGTCTTGGTCACTGCAGGTTGGGAAAGGCCTATCAAAGAATGAAAAAGCACAAAAACTTGCTCTGCAGCACTGGCTTGAAGCAGTAAGTTGATTGCATTTGAGTGTCTTTTTTCCTTTTCTTTTATCTTTTATGAGCCATTACTGATCTCAATTCTTTATTATTACAGATTGACCCAAGGCATCGGTATGGACATAATCTACACTTTTATTACATTAAATGGCTCCATTGTCAGAGTAGAGAACCCTTCTTCTACTGGCTAGATATAGGAGAAGGGAAGGAAGTAAATCTTGTTGAAAAATGCCCTCGATCAAAACTTCAACAGCAGTGTATCAAGTATCTAGGACCGGTGAGCCTTTATGTCCTTATTGATAATCCTTCGATCTGTTTTTTCTTCCATTTCATTTGCTGATAATTATTCTGCTTAATACAGAAGGAAAGAAAGGCCTACGAAGTTGTTGTGGAGGATGGAAAATTCTTCTATAAGCAATCAGGGCAGGTCCTCCATACAACTGAAGAATTCAATGATTCCAAATGGATTTTTGTCCTTAGTGCTTCTAGAACCTTATATGTTGGCAAGAAAAAGAAGGGGACATTTCAGCATTCAAGTTTTTTGGCTGGAGGAGCCACATCTGCTGCTGGGAGATTAGTTGTTGAACATGGCATCATTAAGGTATGGATATAATACAAAAAAAACTTGTAAAATCTTCTTCCTCTTTCCATACATACCATTGTTTTGATGCTTATCTTTAGATATTGCCGTTGTATCTAACATTGGTTTCTTGTGACTTTCTACAGGCAGTTTGGCCTCACAGTGGGCATTATCGCCCTACAGAAGAAAATTTCAGAGACTTTGTCTCATTCCTCGAAGAGAGCAAGGTGGATCTCACAGATGTTAAGGTATGTAGAAAAATAGAACTTATATTCTTTTGCGATGATTTGATATACTTCAAGAGAAAATAAGTGGAAACATTTTTACTGAAGAAGCCCACTTTTCTGTTATATTCAGTTAAGTCCGATTGAGGAGGAAGAGGAAGGTTCACTTAGCAAGAAAAGAAGCAGTGCTCATATTAGATGCAACTCATCTGAAGGAGACTTCATCGAAAGTGTATGTGAGTTAAAGACCAAAGAAACCATTGTTGAAGACTTGACTCGCGAGGAGACTGATTCAATGGTACAAGCTGCTGCTGCAATGGATTCTCATATGTCAAGCCGGCTCTGCAGTGTTAGTAGAAAATTGTCTAATCTGGCCATACCAAACCGGGAAAGATTTTTTGAGACGAGTGAAACTCAACCTGCTGCTTCAAGTTGCAGTAGTATACCTGTAGGATCTCCAGTGGATGCTTATGAAACAGCAGAAGAAAATCTCTCATCAGAACAAGATTACATGATTCCAAAGAAGAACTTGTTTGAAGAAAACCATGAAGAGACTGAGGAAGAAGACATTCCTCAAGAATCAATTCTCAAGAGGATTAACTCACACAAAGGAATGAAATCATTTCAACTGGGAAAGCAGTTGTCATGCAAATGGACAACAGGAGCTGGACCTCGCATTGGTTGTGTGAGGGACTATCCCACAGAGCTCCAGTTTCGAGCTTTGGAGCATGTCAGCTTGTCCCCAAGAAGCGCAGCCCGTTTGAGATCATACTTCTCTCCTCGGATCACTAGCGGTTTGAGTCCAAGGGTGCTGACGCCAACAGAATGTGGCGGGGAGATGGAAGCAATCATAAGCTCGCCGGCACTTGAGAGATTGAAAAGCATTCACCATTCTAGAACTCAGTCCTCCCAACTTTTTACAGGAAGTAGAGCAAGCGCAATTGCTAATGTCTCCTGACTGAAAATAGATTTCTTTATTTCTTTTTCTTTTTCTTTTTATCAATATTAATTTATTCTTTTGTGTGAATAGAAAAGATGATATAAGAATTCTTTGTCATTCTTTTCCTACACAAATCATGTATACAGTTTTTTCATTAGTTCATCTTGTAAAAAAGGAGATGACAAATTGTAGGATTTTGGTGGGTTCGATGCCCTTTTAATACAAAAGAAGATTCAAATTTTTTCTTTTTCCTTAGTTTTATTTTGGTGGGTTTGATGCCCTTTTAAATTGTGTTGCTGTTTATGGACGCGAAACACAGATGCCGTCCTTCTACAATAAATAAATTATACAAAAGAACAAAAAAGGGCAACGAAAAACCATACACGCAAAACATTTTATGGTGGGGTTGGGCATGCCTCAAATAGCAAACTAAACATTACTGTGATGGTGATTACTAACCACTCGTCACTCGTGGAGCCTTTCATTCACTCACACTGATTACTAACTTCTTTTGACATGTTATCCACTCCATCAGAGATCACATAAATAGGCAAAATGGCTATCTCAAATCAGAGCCTCAAGTTTTTTACTGAATTTGAAGTTCAAGCTTCACACCTTGAGCATCAAGTTTTTACCTTGCAGGACTATCTCCCATTTCCTTTGTGGCAGCCATGGAAGCTCTGAAAATTTCATCTATTCCTTCACTCCAAATTCCATCTAAATTTGACAAAGCGCAATCCAAGAAACTCACTTCTTTCTGTTTTAATTCAATACCCAGTTCATCTTTCTCATTAGTTCAAAGAAACATATCAACATTCAAGATTTTCACCACCATATCATCTTCTGTTTCAACTGAGCCTGCAAACCCACCTGAACTAGAGGTTGAAAATCGCACCCAACAAGAGAAATTTGATTGGTATGCCCAATGGTACCCATTGATGCCAGTTTGTGATCTTGACAAGAGGGTGCCACATGCGAAGAAAGTTTTGGGTATTGATGTGGTGGTGTGGTGGGACAGAAATGAGAGTGCCTGGAAGGTATTTGATGATTCTTGTCCTCACAGATTGGCTCCATTGTCTGAAGGGAGAATTGATCAGTGGGGGAGGCTGCAGTGTGTTTATCATGGCTGGTGTTTTAATGGCTCTGGTGACTGCAAGTTCATCCCTCAAGCACCTGCTGATGGCCCTCCGGTAAAAAACCCTTGAATGAAAAAATTTCATGCAAGTAGCAGATTGATAGTTTTGCTCACCTTCATACAAGTTAACTAGACTTCTAGAAGACGTCATATAATACCATAGTTTTGCATAATTTTAATGAACTTAAACAGAACAGTCATATTGTTCATTCAAGTTTGCGGAAGTGGTTTTATAAGAATAAAGTATGCAGTGCATGAATTATTTCTTTGACAAGATAACAGGGTTGACCCTTCTAGCATACTATGCAGATTCACACATCCAAGAAAGCATGTGTAGCTGCTTATCCAAGTACTGTGCAGAATGGCATTGTGTGGTTTTGGCCAAATTCCGATCCTCAATACAAAGATGTTCTTGCGGAGAAAAAACCTCCCTACATACCAGAACTAGATGATCCATCGTATTCTGGTTTAATGGGAAATAGAGAGATTCCTTACGGGTATGTAAAGATATATCTTTCAACCACTTTCTGATATAAAACTATTTTCTACTGAGGGAAAGGGATAATGCTCTTTTATAAGTAACCTTGTGAATCTGTATCCTGGTCTCATTTCCTCTTTCACGTCAAATAACTTTTAGGTGTATCCATATGTAAACATTTTCATATAACAGAATATGCAATTATTCTAGCTATATCAGACAGATCCAGAAGATATGCTATAACTTTGCTTGATTTCTTAATTGCAATTCCAGGTATGAGGTCTTGATTGAAAATCTCATGGACCCTGCTCATGTTCCATATGCACATTATGGAATAATGCGAACGAATCAACCCAAAGGCAGATACATTTTTGTGGATCATTTTCATTTTTATTGAATTCAGTACGTTAATTTCTCGTTGTAACATGGTAGGTTCAGATGACTTACACTTCATTAATTTACAGAGAAGGCCGATAGAGAAGGGGGCAGACCATTGGAATTGAGTGTTCAGAAGTTAGACATAAATGGTTTCATTGCAAAGCAGGAGTGGGGTCGCAGTAAATTTCTGCCACCATGTGTGTTCTACGCTTCTCCCCTTGATCCGGTTGACCAAGGTAATGGTGCTGCATCATCGGCTGGAACCAAAAAGGTAGTACAATATGTTGATTTACTTCTTGATTTTATATAAAGCTGACTGTTGCAGCTATACTTTCCTTTATTTTTGTTCACACCCTTTATCTTTGTATTCCTTTGTTCATCTATTTATGTGTATGCTGATTTGTGTAGGTGTCATCAGCCCAGCGGAGAGCTCTTCTAATTTTTATCTGCATTCCGGTTAGTCCAGGTAATAGCAGATTGATATGGACCTTCCCAAGAAACTTTGGCGTTTGGATTGATAAGATTGTTCCACGATGGATGTTTCATGTTGGACAAAACCTGATTTTGGACTCAGATTTGTATCTTCTTCATGTTGAGGTGAGTTCTAACTCTCTGTTGTATGAAATGAAGTTTAGGAATTATCTTGCATCTCACTTGCTGAATATGCAAGACATCACTTTTTCAGTTGACAAAGACCATGGTCTGGCTTTTTCTCGCAAAACTTTAAACTTGTTGCTAGATGGGCAATGAATGAGAAAACCTGGCAATTGTCAAGTGGATCTATTTTACCCCCCACAACATCCCAAACACACACCCCTGAAAGTAATGCTTTTGGTATCAAGTTTTAGAAACAATAAGAGAAACACCCTATGGAGTTACTATGTGCAACCACATGATCATGGAAATAGTCTTAGGTCAATATTTTATTGCATGTGGTCTTGTATGACTCTTGAGTTCTTCCTACAGGAACGTAAGATAATGGATGCTGGCCCCAACCAGTGGCAGAAAGCATGTTTTGTGCCTACAAAGTCGGATGCCCTTGTGGTTGGTTTCAGAAAATGGTTAATCAAGTATGCTGGTGGTCAGGTAGATTGGAGAGGCAAGTTCAGTGGGGCTCTTCCCCCCACTCCCCCCAAGAGAACAGTTGTTGGACAGGTAACTTACATACAACTATGAAAGAGGATTCGAACTTTTGTTGTTTACTTCTTAGTTTCAGAAAATTGGAACCATTTAACTCCTTGCCTGTCAAATTTTGATAGCAGATCCTTACAGAGGTCTTGGAAATGCTAAAAATTGGTGGTGTTGCGATAATGTTAACTCTATTAAAGCAGTGAAAGCTTATGTGGAAACAACTTTTCTATTAGTTGACAAGTTTTACAAACTGAACCAGCTAAAATACTTTGAAATCAATCTCTTTCAGTTTATTCTTGGCATTTTCAGGTAATCAAATGATATAGGAATTTCTGGCACATTGATTAAAAATTTGCCGTTTGTCTTGCCATTTTGCCACATACATTGTGGGACACAAGCATTTGTTTTATTTGGTTGTGTTGGGATCCTTAGAACTAACTTGGAGTGTGTTAAAAGTCATATCGTTGAATGATAAGGGAGTTTTTGCACAACCTTCTCAGGTACTGGTCCCATGTGGTGAGCTGCAGCAGTTGCAGTGCAGCACACAAAGGTCTGAGGGTGCTGGAAGTTGTGTTGCAGGTCGTCTCTTTTTCTTTAGTTGGAATTGTTGCTGCAACCAAGCAGGCTGCGTTGTCAGTGGCTGCAAGAACTACGCTAGTTGCAATGGCTATACTATCCTTTGCAGCTTCAAAATGGTTGGCTCACTTTATCTACAAACAGTTTCACTTCCACGACTACAACCATGCTCTTCGCTGAGATTCAACTCCACTCACTGTTTAGATATAATGAAAATATTAAACACCCAATGGGGTAATGTAACTATGATATACATGTCAAGGTTTCATAACTATGATATACATTAATATAAGTTTGTAAAATAAAAAGAGTATCATGTGAAGATTATTTCTTTGCATTAGAAATTGAAAGAAAGGGTGCGGAGAGGAAGAGGTAGTTGTGTTTGTCTCTAGCTCAGAAGCATGAGAAAAATTTAGTCGCAACATGACGAGAGAGATAGAGAGAGTGAGTAAGAACCCGTTTCATACAAGTTTTTGTCCAGCACCACAGTTCCTTAATGTTAACACGTAACATAGATGCTCTGTATGTACCAAAACAAAAATTTGTCACCATCCTCATCTTGATAATTATTAACATCACAAATTGACAGTACCCCATTGTTTTTACCTCCACATCAAACGATCCCTTAATGGCTTTTACTACATGGTTTTTACCTCCACATTGTCTGAAAAAAAATTTATTAAACCTAACACAACAAAAATTAACTCTAAAAAATTATTGGCTTCTTAGCTCCTCAAAGAAATGGTCAAATTCCAAAACAAAGAAAATTAAAAGAATTTCAGAAAAAGATAAAGATAAAGGAAATTGACAGGTGTCAAAATCCCATTTATTTTGGAAGGAGCTCATCGTCAATTTTAAGGAACCAAATCTTTTGCAAAAATTAACACAAAAACATATTAATACAAACAAAATTGGATTTACATCCACCCATTAGAGCAAAAACATTATTTACATGAGAGGATATGTAAAAATGAATTCACACCCCCGAATTTACATCTCTCTACGCTCCCATTGGCTTTTATTTTATCACATTGTTTGTGGAACCACCAAATCCACTTGTTCAAATTAGGCCCAAATAGTAAAATTTGGGCTCTAACAAATTTTGATTTACTGACGAGTGATGTGGCATTGCAAAGCAGTCCAAGTGACAATTTCACGAAGAGTCAAAGACAATCCACCCAACCAAAAGCTCCCTGTCGCTTGTAGAAGAAGCTCTTCCACACTTGACATTAACATACAAACCACCGTCCTCGAAACTAAAGTAAACAAACCAGTAAAACCCAAGTCACATTTCCTTCCACAAGCTTCCCTCAGCAGATCTCCATCAACCAACCCTCCACAGCTCCAGTTTCACATCTCATGTAAGTAAATTTCTGTACTTTCCCATTCATTTCCACTCAAGTTCCTTCATTTTCTTCTACTTTCTCTCAATACCGACCAAAATTTAGTTCGTGCACTCCAAGATCTGATTGGTTTTACTACCTGAGTTTTCTTCAAAACTCATGAAAGAATCAAATCGGGCCACTGAGCCCATTGGGCAAAACCTGATAAAGCTCATAAGCAATCTCTGCTTCTCAGTGTTTGTGTTCTCAGTGCTTATAATCACTGTGATTGCCATCACCTACCAACCCCCAGATCCATGGCTGGAGTCAGCTCCAGCCTTAACAAAACTCTTCACTGAGTCTGAGAATGCCACTTTCAAGAATGACAATTCTATCCTCAAGACTGGTGAGGATTTACTTGCCCCTGCCGTGCCTCCGGCTTCGGAGGACCGCATCACCGAGGCGGTGATTGAGAAATCAGAAGCCAATATCACCAACTCCACCCCACCCCAATTGAATTGTGAGGATTTGGAGAGAGTGAATTGCTCGGACCCTCGAGCTTTGATTGCGGTGGAGAGGTTTAATTTGAGGCTCTTTAAGTCCATTGTGTTCTTGGACTATCAGACCCCGGTTAATGGGTCGAAACCGGACGAGTGTGATGTGTTGTGGAGGTTTAGGAACAAGAAGGAGAAGTCTTGGAGGAAGTATAGGGATTTTAGGAGGTTTAAGCTTGGAATTGGAGTGAATTGTACCTATAAGGTGGTCCATGCCGGAGGGTGGCATTCGGGTATTAATGCTCGAAGGCCGAGGAGGATTAGTAATAGCACAAGGGGTGCTAAAATAGCCCCATCAGTTCGTGACGAACAGATTAATGATACAATCCCAAGCTTGGGATCGGATACGAATTTTAGGAAGGGTAAGTACTTGTACTATTCACGTGGAGGGGATTATTGCAAAGGAATGAACCAATACCAATGGAGTTTCTTGTGCGGTTTAGGTGAGGCTATGTTTTTGAACAGGACATTTGTGATGGATTTGAGTGTATGCTTGGCGGCGAGTTATACTCCGAGTAATAAAGATAAGGAAGGGAAAGATTTTCGATATTACTTTGATTTTGAGCATCTTAAGGAGAGTGCCTCAATTGTGGAGGAGGGCGAATTTTTGAGGGATTGGAAGAAGTGGGATCGGAGCCATAAGAGGAAAGTGCCAGTTAAGAAGGTTGCGAGCCATAAGATCACACCAATGCAACTCAAGAAAGAAAAGAGCACGGTTATATGGAGGCAGTTTGATGGTCCGGAGCCAGAAAATTACTGGTACAGGGTATGTGAAGGACAAGCTGCTAAGTACGTACAGAGGCCATGGCACGCTCTTTGGAAATCAAAGAGATTGATGAATATTGTTACAGAGATCAGCGGGCGAATGGACTGGGATTTTGATGCTGTTCATGTTGTGCGAGGAGAGAAGGCACAAAATAAGGACCTTTGGCCTCATTTGGATTATGATACATCCCCTGACATGCTTCTTGAGAAGGTAAAGAGGATGGTTCAGCCTTGGAGGAATCTGTATATAGCCACTAATGAACCGTTCTACAATTACTTTGATAAACTGAGGTCTCAGTACAAGGTTCATTTGCTTGATGATTACAAAGAACTGTGGAGTAATACAAGTGAGTGGTACAATGAGACTAGGATTTTAAACGATGGACGACCAGTTGAGTTTGACGGGTACATGAGGGTTGAAGTGGATACTGAGGTCCTTTACAGGGCAAAGACGCGTGTGGAAACGTTCTATAATTTAACCGGAGATTGCAAGGATGGAATCAACACATGCTGACCAGGTTGGAGAGACCTCTAGTTGCTTATTTCATATTTTGATTCACATTTCTGAGTGATACTGTTGAATTCAGGTCAGGCTTATCGTTGTATGTGCTTGTTCTTTTATTGTATTGATGGTTGGAAATTCAAAGCCTATATTGTACTATAGATTCAACTCATTTCGACATCCACATCAATTTATCTCTTACAAGCTCTAGTATAATGTCCATCTTCCCGAATATAAATTACCTGCCATTATCTTTTCTCTTTGATTTTCCTTCACATGTGACACAATTATTTGCGCATGAGTCGAGGCCTAAGTGGATACAACACATTTACATTTCTCTGGAACTGCAGAGAATGAGTTGTGTGCCTCACATATGACACTTATCTTTGAACTTTTTGCGTTGGTATTACTCAGGAAATGCCTAGTATAGATTTATAATGCTCTGCTTTCTCTTCAAGTACCGTATCATTCCTGAAAGTCATCATTGGCGACTAGTTTTGCAAAATGCTTAAACAGTTGGTAGTTTGATGCATATGGACTGAATCAAACTGTAAATGCATCAATCTATTAGCAATGAATCATTTCATCCCTTAACTACATGCACATGGAGAGTTTTCTAGAGGGGAATATCTTGAAAGGCAGCAGATGCACTTTGATTTTGCTTATGTACCGGAAAACTGAAGTTGTAAAATTGCTCTTTTCCCTTGCTCAAACATTGTTCATCAAGTTTGAAAACCAGAAACACTTTGTTTATGCAGACACAGCTTTCCTTTTCGCTTTCTCTTTGTTGTATACTTGCATTCAGAAAGTTGTAAATAGAGATTTACCATGAGGGAAAGGAAAATAGTCTTATATCAATTACATTCACAATCGTAATTGGTATGCCGAATCCATATATTGCTTAATCCTGAAAGACAAATTTGACCATAGAAAATCAAATATATGATTAACTCGACCCTTGCTTTTCATCTAAAACAATTCATTTTTCAAGTCAGTCTTAGTTCATTAGTGCATCAAGCCCTTTTATGATTTGCATGGTTTTCTTCCACATTCCAGCTTTGGGTTGGTGCCACTTGATTATGCAAAGGTATGTATTCCTGAGAAAGAAAGAAAAAAAAAAAAAAAAAAAAAAAAAAAAAAAAGAACCAAAAAAGAATTAGTTTTATTTAACATCAAAATGATGAAACCAAAATATTTTAACATAGTACAAAACAGGGGCAGTTTTGATATGGAAGGAATTTCTAAATAGGAGAGTATATAGTGTATATATCAGTACCTCCATCCTCTGTATCAGCTCTTGAGCAGTTTTTGCAGATATGACAATGTTCCTTGCAGATAAATTAATAAATCCTTCTTCCACGCCTTTGTCAAACAGACGAAGCAAGCAATCATAATACCCATCAATATTTAAGAGACCCACCTGATTTTGCAACCAAAATATGTGGTAGTGGTTAATATGTTGATGTCCTTTTTCCGGAAAATTGGTTAACATGTTAACGTCATAAGTTACAATCCTAAAATGTCAAAAATTTGGAAAAGGTTCATTGTCATTTTCATTTGCCATGACTTACTCACTAAGTTATGCTACGGTTAAACACCTATGTGCAAGGCTATGGATGATTTCTGACTGTTAATTCATTACACAGAATCTCATTAACAATTAGAAATCGCCCACGTATGTGACCTTATCAAAATCTTTTACTTTATTTCAACTCTACTTGTCCCATAATTTGTGTAAGAATAATTTTTTTTGGGTGGAAAGTGCAAGAATGATTATGAAATGATTGGTGTGACAAAGAGCTATACTATCAGTACTAATAACGAATTTGGAAGGGGAAGAGTAAGCCTCAATTATGGGCCTATAAATGGTTGCCAAGTCTTATTCAGGGCCATCCAAATCATATAAGGTGGATGCATGATGGCTATCAAGTTAGAAGCCCGATCTGACTTGTAACCAAATACAGCCGAGTAGTCGGTACGCAATTTGGATGGCTTAATTAAGAAGTTTGAAAGCTCACGCACTAGAAGACTTTGCTTTAATAAAAACCATGAAGAAGGAAACCAAATTAATGCAAGTTAATATACCCAAAATAGTTTGAATTTAATTCACTTCCAACTGGAAGTTATCACATAATAAAAACCATGAAGAAGGAAACCAAATTAGAAAATCATGAAATGAGTGCTGTTTGTGGTGATTGTACGTATTTAAAGTTTATCTAAAGAGTTGGGTCGAGAATCCTATATTTTTCTTGTCTCGTAAAAAAGTAGAAATTGATTTTTTTTTAAAATATATATATATATATAAAGAAAAATATTCTTAAATACTTCAAAAGCATATAAAGCAGCAAAAAAACGAAATGCATACAATTCAAACATCTGGATAAAACTTTATCAATCGTATAATAGTTGCGATTCAACCTCATTAGGTGCAATTCCATGAACATCAAAATGAAGTGAAATATTGATTAAATGAAATCTAGGTCAAAGTTCATTTTTATTAATTTGTTTTTATTACACATAAAACAATAAGAGCACTCTAATAAAAACGTCATCATTCACTCATTTTATGCGTATGGTAAAGGATCTTATGGTCTTGTTATAATCATTCTGATGTGGAAAATTTGTTTAATTGATTGAGTCATTATCGAAGGTCATGATCTAAATTGACTAAACAATAATATCATTAAGGGTCCCTATGGTCTAGGGTTATAGCTAACCAGTCTCTCGAGCAATTAATTATGTGCTAAGACCTACAGTTCTTGCTAGGGTATAGCTGCTAAACCCCAACAAATACTGAAAACTTTTAATAGACAGATTGAAATGTTTCAAGGAAAATGCATTTTATAAATAATTGTTAAACTTACATGCGCATGCGGCATGCATCTTGTTCTTTTACATGCAGAGAATAAGAGAAGGAAAAAAAAACAGAGTAATAAGCTTACTGGTTTGTCATGGATTCCAAGCTGAGACCATGTTATCATCTCAAGCAACTCTTCCATGGTTCCATACCCACCTTCATATATATATATATATATATATATATGGATGGATTATCCAAAAGCCCAGAAAATTAAGAAGGATCAAAATGCATCATATATAGTATATACATGCAGAAAAACTTAACTACATCAGCAATGTTTACAGAAAACTCTTATATACATTTGTAACTTTAATTTAGTTTTTTTATAGTTGAAATATTAATTATATATACCAGGAAGTGCAATGAAAGCATCGGCTTGACGAGCCATCTCAGCCTTCCTTTCATGCATATCCGATACAATCAACACTTCTCCTACTGAATTGCCTGATATCTAATCAAATCAATCACAGAATTTTAATTACTTCATTAATTAGCATATATTAAATTAGTAATATAGTTCATTAGCAATACACAACAGAATTAAGGTTAGAAGAAGGAGCTGGTACCTCAAGTGGAACAAGGGCTGTTGGGATAACTCTATAGCAAAAACCAAATTATTAATTAGTAAGATTAATCACTTAATTAATCAAAGATTCGTCCTACGTACCTATAGCATTAGCATATAATTAAGGAAGTAAGGATTGAGGTTTATTAATTATATACTTGATCTGGGCCTCATTGAATTAATTAGTCTTACCCAAGAACATGACATCCACCGTCATAAACTGTTTGTGAAACCAACCCCATCAGCCCTACACTTCCTCCACCATACACCAAATCCATCTTCCTCTCCACCTGATCAAACTTAATTTCATCAATTTCCCTTGCTAATTGCAATCAAAACCCGGCCTCAAGTTATATCAATAACAAACAACTAAGACCAATTTATTTTAACCTCTGTGTGTATTTATATACTTGCCACATGAGTGTCTTTGAGAGAGAGAGAGAGAGAGAGAGAACAGCAGAATTACCAGTTGAGTCCCAAGTTGAAGAGCTGCATCACTGAATATCTTTCTATGGCCTGAATTACTTCCACAGAAGACACACACCCTTTTGAACTTACCCATTAATTATAATATACTAGTTTCTACTTTCTAACTAAAGCTAGCTGTAGAGTTTCTTCACCTCCGATGGATATGGGCTGCAAACAAGTTGGTTGATCACTTCAATATATTCTTTTTGCTGAATAAGTCGCAGGCCTTCTAACAAGTCTATCGATCTCTCTTCTCCACACACACATATATAGACACAAATATATATATATAGAGAGAGAGAGAGAGAGAGCACTATATTACTAATTAAAAGTCTAATAAATAATTTAGAAATTGTACCGGTGGTACTGACACGTGAGAGTTGATGTTAACTGATATGGGCCCTGTACATGAAAATAATGCTAGTGTTATTCACTTTTCAGTCAAACAAGATTCTGCCTTTCTTTCATTCTTTGTATTCTATATCTCATTTGTGTTGGTGGGTGCACCAATAATACGCTCCTCCCTCTCACCTTCCCTTCCTAAAATATTTAATGTAGAGAGAGAGAGAGAGAGAGAGAGAGGATCATTCATTCATCTCCTCTACTTCTTGGACTTGGAAAACTCCTAACCTAAGCTAAGGACCTAAGCTAAGCTAGCACTTTTGTATTTTGGCTGCATGTTGGTCCCTCGGCAGAGATCTATTCAGTTGAGTGGCTATAAAACCATAATGATGACCTCCTAATATTATATATAATACCCTTTTAGTTGTGCATCCTATATTCATAGCAAAAGTTGGGGACATTCTCAGCTAGCTCCTACAAGCTGCATGCACTTTTACCACATTCACCTCCTAATTATAAGCATATGTCATGTCTGGCTAATATTTTAGGATTTATTATGATCACGCTTCAATCCTGTCCTACTGGACAATCTTCATAATGGTTCTTAATCTCATAAGTATGTATGTGCGGTTGCTAGAGAGAGAGAGAGAGACTCGCATGAGACATTGTATATTGATATTTGAGTAGTTTCTTCTCTGTGCATGACTTTTGTTCTTTAAACAACGTGCTGATAACTTATTTTTACTCAATTTTCTTTAGTGTTGATTTTATTTATTAACATGGTTGATTCTTTAGGGTGTGAAATCACTCTTTAGAGCTTAAATTTCAGGTTGTAATCTCATATTATGTTAATTGTATAAACTCTAAAAGGTTATTTTGTATCATAAATAAACAATAATGTCAATAAGTCGAATCAAATCTGAAGACAAATAAGCAAAATTGAGATTGTCTAAACTCTTCCGCTCTATAAAAATTAAAGTAACGGATGTTTGAAAAATATCATTTTATATTTAGTTGTCTAGATATTTTATCTTATTCAAACGAGGGATATGAAAGCAAAATTTGAACTCTTTTTGGCCGAGACAAGTTCCATTACTCAGAAATAGAACATTACAAAAGACTTGAACAGAACATTAACTTGAACTCTTTGGTGTAAATGTGAGGTGAAAAACTATATATAGCACACTCCCACATATAGCTCCCTAGATTGAACGACTAACTATCAATATTTTAGCATATTCGATCTCTTCAATGATGCACACTTCACCATCCATGATTTAATTGTGATAGGCATGATTAAATCAAAATGGGGTTCAAGGTTCAAGCGTGCATCATAGATGATGATGATGTGCAGTCACCTTGGGGCCCACCACGGGTTAATTAAAATAGATCTCTGCTTTAGTATGATGCCTGAGCCTGACTAATCATGTTAAGTGCCTTCGGGCTTTGGCAGGTTACCGATAAAGAAATTAAAAAGAAAGAAATGGTAGGAACCACAAGGCACCCAAAAGTATAATATAAGAAAAAGAAAATATAGTGTCTTGATTCACCTTTTCTTAGGCGCATTGCTTTGTAAATAATCATGATTTTGGAACCAGTAAAAAGTTAATAAATAGTGAGGAAAAAACAAACATTTAAATTTAATGGTGACCGTTTTCGGTCTATCAGACACACAATAAAAACAAACTAAACGGGACAATGAACTTGTTGGTGAAATGTCTCTCTGGTTTGTCACTGTTCCATTTAATTATGAAGCCATTGCTGACTTTTTGGCTTTTAAAATACTTGATAATAATATCTGCTAGAGGTTGACAAAAGTCTGCATCTTAGTTGTCCATCTGTGCCATGCCAGAGCCATCATGGGAAAATTTAATTGAGTCAGCAGTAAAAAGCAAGCAAAAAAGACAAGGGTCAATCTTCCTGCTTATGTACAAGATCTCATCATTATGTATTTAAACCAAAATAAGTATTTCTAATTATTGATGTAATGAGTGTAGTGGGCATTAATTATTCTGTCTGATGTATCCTTGAGTTCAAAACAGTGTGATTAAGAACTGCAGCCCCACATGAATGCATACATACGAGAGAGAGAGAGACCATTTGAACCAAAATGATAAACATGTCACAACCCAAAATGTCATGCTTTTACAGGACAAAAACAGTAAAATCAACTAACTAAGCACCATTTGCATTCTAAACATGATTTCAACTCTCAAGTGTTCAAATCATCATTGTCAACGATGTATTGGAAATAAGATGACGTACCATAGCAATATATGAGACAAGATCAGTACGTATATATCCTTCAATGTGATTGTAAAATATATACAAAGTATTCCTCAATGTGAAGCTGATACATCACTAACTAAAGAGGTCTTACACGGTCATAGTATGTGATTACAAAGAGCAAAACCTAATAGAAACTTGGTATTCCTCGTAAAAGGGAAAGAGTAGGGTATAAAACTAGTTATGGCGCCATACCAAGTACTCGTAACATTCTATTCGGATGCCACATGATGGATCAATAGAACATCAAAAGCATCGGCATTACTGTTTGTAAGCCGCTGCTTCTTCTGGGGCATATGAATTAAGTTTTGACTAGCAATGGCCTTTGCTGTACAAAGAAACTGCAACAAACTGACATGCCACGGATCAGGTAGCCGTGGAAATGCTGGCTGAGAGTGCAGCATGGCGTGCCACAAATGACTCGACCAGTGGATTCACTAGGTCAGGTGCTTCATCCTTCAGGATCAGGAACATTAACAAGTTATGAATCAGCGTTCGTTGTCAATGGGAAAGTTATCAGAATTCATACGAACATTATATCTGCTTATGGTTGGGCGCTAGCACTTCTTTTCCCTATTTATACATTTGATCTAATCTTTCATCCCCAAGACAACAGAAGCCAGTTTCTCAGAGCCAGATTTTAGCATGTGCTACAAAACCACATTATACATCCATACATCTTTTCAAACATTTAAAAAAACTCCAATAGCCGTCATATATGCAAACCTTTCTCTGAGAGAGAGAGAGAGAGAGAGATAGAGACCTGAGGGCAGTGGCCGACATTAGGAAGAACAACGTAGTCTTCTACAGAATTGAATTTCCCATAGGCACGTCCAAGTTCAATGGGCTCCCATGGATCCTTCTCACCCCATCCTATCAAAACAGGGCACTGTAAAGAGAAGAAAAATTAAAAACTTGAAGCTACTTGATGCATTAGTAATAGTAAATTTGACTGGTGTGAGTGGTTAGTAAAGATACTGTAAAAGTTTACTGAGACACTGACCTTCATTGAGGCAATAGTTCCTCAGGAAGGGGGCCACCTGAGTAACAAATGAACTCCAGAAATACATCTACAGCACCGGGCTCAAGTCCTGGAAGAAGGATTTTTTGAACTAGTTCCTCTGTTACCTGGGAGGTGTCATGGTAGCACTGAAATGCAATTATTCGTATCAGTGAACCTAAACAAAGAAACAAAAGGGAAGAGTGCAAGTGTTCACGAGTTTTTTAGGTTCTATAAAAACAAGATAATTTGGATATAACAGCTTAACAAACACACACCACCATAGGCAACCACAATGACATTCAAGCTAGATTCCCATTTGAGTGAATATGTACATATCATAGCTGAAGTGTCTGTTATACCAATTAAGATCCAGAAAGACTTATGTGGATGGATTGAAAAGATTCCAAATTTTTACTATTTGCAAAAAATCATTTTCGTAATTTGTACTATGCTATGAATCTATCTTTGCTAATCAGATAATGTTGGTTTATGTACTTCAATATTAGCAGCTTATCAAAAAATAAATATGTCAATATCGTAAGATACCTGGCAAAGGATATTCCTCACAGACTCTGGTGTGGCAACAATTTTGAAAAAATATTTGCCCACATCGGTATTTCTGCCACAACATCATGACTTGAACTCTATGTTTACACTAAAGAACTCTAACATGACAAACAAACTATTTAATCCAGCTTTACCTCAGTAAGTGCTGAAATGATCTAATCAATGGTCTTCCGTACCAAGGCTGCTTTTTAATATGAAGCATACGAAGAGAAATATTTAAGAGCATTACGCCCTTACATAACTGTGGCTCCATAACTGCTGCCTGAAGACCAACAAGTCCTGTGTGAAGACCCAAAAAAACTCAGAAGGGTATGTCTCTGTTGATGTCATTCAAAGAAATAGTTTCTAAATCAGAAGGGCTCCATTTAGTAATAAGCAGAATCATATAGAAGTATCGCATCAACATTGTAGATTATGGCTTATCACCGTGGGAAATATTGATATCTGAATGTAAACCCAGCGTATTAGAAGATGGTACGCAAGAAAGCAAAGGCAGTATATTTTACCAAAATATTTCTTTCATAAGTTTATTGCAGCATAAGTAACCACAAAATGAACTTAATGGTGACCTCCTTCGGATCCAAGACTTCACTATCTAACCAACGCATGACGGAAAGCATAATATCCTATCACAGGATCTTTTCACAGCCTCACAGGTGCCATTAGATTAACAAAGACAACATTAATTATATGTTTTTTTTCTTGATCCTTTTCATTATCACTAGCCAGAACTAGTTAAGCCTAAAAACTTACAACTCATACCAAAAGGAGAGAGAGAGAGAGAGAGAGAGGAGAGAGAGAGAGAGAGGAGAGAGAGAGAGAGAGATGGTCACCTCCGATAGAGTTGCATATTCATCCTCGACCACATCAATACAAAAGTCATTTAGCTGGGTGCCCCATGTCTCAAATGTATAAAAGGAACTTTCCCCAAATTGACGAGGATTTGGTTTGTCTGAGTACCCATAACCAATAAGATCAATTGAGTATACCCTATGTGATTTTGCAAGAACTGGAATATTTTTCCTCCAATGGTCACTGTAAAGAATAACAAGTGTGTCATAGGTACTGACCTTGACAAGTTAAGCATGGAATGAAAGAGATCATATAACAAAACTCTGAAACATATGGCAAAGTGTGAAACTTGCAAATAGTCTGGGAACATTTAAAATGCAAGTTATGCATGAAAACTCAAAAATTGTGGGGAATACAAAGCCCAAAAAATGAAGCTTTAGCTTCTAGATTGCACCAAAACCCAGAAAGATTAGAGTTTGGTCTGTTCATGGGTCCTTATCTTAAGCACTAACAACAGTTTCAGCAGCTATGATCTGACTTATTAAATCTAATTAGCAAGGACTTAACTCTTTCACAACTATCTACAAGATAAGTAAGCAACAAACTTAAAAGTGCAAAACCTTACATAAGTAAATTTAATTTTTCAAATTTAATGAAGTTCATACCATGCGTACAACTAAGAAAAATGGATATGTCTCATGCATGTGTGTGTAAAACATGACTGTATATAGCAATTTGCGCATGTAATACCTATAGCAATTAGTTGTCTGCTAATGAGAAGTAATGTGTGCATGATGTAGACCTGTTTGCTCCAAAACCATGAATTAATACTAATGCCGGGCCACTGTTGCCAGCATGCTGATAGCGGATAGAATAACCCCTCCAGTTCCATATACTACAACACACAAAAGGAAAATGACACTAGAAAGTAAGAAGGACAATCATTAATTTAAACCCATTGTCAGCCAAAAAATATGCCAAATACTTATATCAATTAACACGAAATAAAGAATCAATGATACAATAGCAACTGAAAATAGAAAAACTCTTTCAGGCAACAAGCAACATGAGTATCCAAATTATTCTCATTAGCTGATCACTAAAACTATATTGGTTCATATATATTAAGTGGGGATCAAAAGCACAACTCTATAAAAGCACATGAGCAACTCCCACTCCATGTCTCAGTTAGAAATCAGGAGATTCCAAATAAAGTGGAAATTGGAGTGTTTGTAGAAAGATGGCAAGATGTAGTCTTTATGAGACTTCCAACTTGAGGTTCTCACATCCAAATTTTCATTTCCCCCTCTCTTGGTTAGTCCATATTAGCTCCCTTTACCACAGTTGGACTTAGTTTCAGGGCTCATGCGATGTTTTATGATTCAGCTATCCTCTGCCGCATCTTTTATCGCTTCACACCACTATGCCAATTTTTCCACAACCATGCATTGTATGATCCATAGAGTATAAAGCTAAATTAGAGTCTAACCTTATAGAAAATTTAATAAAAAAACAGCTTACTCACTAAATTTGGTATGAAGGGCAGCATAGCTAACTTAAAGACATAAAATTTGATCCCCAAAGTCCCGTTTGGTTCCCGAGAAACCAGAGGAAAGTTCTTTCTATACATCTCTTGAAAGAAAAACCCAGAACCGGATATGAAGGACTTCACAGTTACTTCAAGAATTCCTACTTTCTAAAACCAAACAGAAACTTAGAACAATGCAAAACTCTAAACCAATATAAAGGATTATTAGAGCATGAGAGGAACTGAAAACATGGTACCTGCTTTGAACTTGGACCTCAGGCGCATTGTTGTTCGCAGTGGCTTCTGGACTAGGAAAGCTGCCCTCACCAATTTGACCATTCAAAGAAGAAAATAAGATAAACCCATTTGATTCAAACCCAGAAAACTTAGACATCCTACGAGGCATCTTAACTTGATGAAGGTTTTCCTTGCTGAAAGTTATGTTTCTCTGAGAGGACAAAAATGGAAAATCCACTTTTGACAGACAGAGCGGGAGAGGTAATGCTTGCCATGGCTTTGATAGGACGGACAGAGAGAGCAATGGACTGATGAAGTGTCAAGTGTGATATACAAAGCTCACATGGCGGCCATAGATGAACGTTCAACCAACGGTTAGAGGTCAGCTTGTTTCATGTTTAGTGTTTAGGCTTGCTCCACGTACCCAACTTGTCAATTGCCATGTACATTTTGGATTTTGCTATGCATCCTCTTTATCTTCTTTTGGCCAGACACAAGTTTGTAGGCCCTGCATTTTGCGTTTACATTACATCCTCTCTTCACTAAGGTTAAGGTTGAATTTTTAAGGACAGAGCGTGACCTCATGAGGCTTTTAAAGTACATGCTCCAGTGGAATCTCTGCCCTAAGGAAAACAAAATATAACCAAGAGGCTTCGACCTTCGAGAATCATAGGAAACTGGAAGGATCATTTTCGTTTTTTTGAAAGAAGGGCAATAGTATATTATTGAAATAGGATGAGTAATAGGTACAAAAACCGGGCTACGTTGTCACCAACACCAAGGCCAAAATTTTACTAGGTAATTCTAAACAATTGAAAGAAAGTAGCCAATCTGGCCAAATTCTGGCCAAAATTTGTTCGAAAGTTGCCATGCAGGCAACAGACAAGCATCTTTAAGTCCTCTTGACAAAATCTTCACTACATACAGGACTAATTTGATACTACCAACCAAGTGAAAACAACATAAAAAAGAGATCAGGTCAATCCATTTCATCCTCTTTTTAAGGTCAATCTATTTCATGCTGTAAATGAAGGGAACAATTCCAATTTTTAAATGCAATCATCTCAAGCTTTGGTTCTCATTGTCCTGCGAGATCCCTTCATCTTGATCATGGGATAGAACGAAATCGGGCACTTCTTCAATATCCTCTGCAGGCTAATGGACAATGAAAGGAATATAATTAAAAAGGGGAAACAAATTAAGGTGGAAACCCAAATACCATGCACATAAAGTTTACAACCTTCCATAGTTGCAACAGGTGCCATAACAGAAAGTCAATGATCATAACCAAGCAAAAAAGCTTTCCCGCCCAAGCTCCACATGAGAGGTATCTACAATAAACAAATTAAGCAATTAGCAACCCTGAAATTGCTCCTGACATATTTATGCAATCTCAAAACATCAAGATAAATAAATAATTATAATAAATTCCAAAACCATCACTGCCTCCTAATCAAGTTCTTGACGTCCAATTCAAGCAGCTTAACTAAAATTCACTGTGACACAGTTTCTACCAACAAAATACACAAGCGCTCCCTCTCCACTCCATCTTGCAATCATTAATAAGCTAATGGATCAAGAGATACAACAGTCAGCCTTCGAACTGAAAAAACAATCACCTGTGCATCCTTGTCTCCCTAAACTGTAAAGGAAAACTCATTATCATCCCCTCAAGCAAGACATGATGAACAATGGTATTGCAGTCACTAACTCTGCTTTTACAGTTTTACCATTGATGTGATGAAGAGAATAGTTGGTTCACACTCTATGCTCAACAAATTTGTTTTAAGCACTCAGTCTCATAACCACATCTGTACAAGCATGCAATTTAGACGTAAGCTTTGAGTAGCACACCGTGAGAGTCGTTGTAAAAGATTTTGATTTGAGCATTTCAGAGCACGATCATAAACAATTTCTGTCCGTTTCGCCACATCATGCCAATTGTACAGCTCCTTCATCTACAAACCAACAAAGAACCAAAGAAGCATATTTTAACCACAGTACAAGTAGTCAATGCGCCTAAAGACAACAATTTTTGAAAGAGTGCACTCACACGATTGTGCATTTCTTGTGGGTCGATTTTGGGAAGTATAGATATTGCCTTCTTTATTGCTTGAACCATATCACTAGGATCTGGTTTTGCAAGTACAATCATGTCATCTGGTAGTACCTATGTACAGAAATGGGGTTAACTAAGTTCAAATGAATCTAACACAAATTTGACTCCACTAAGAGATGGAATTTATCCTAGCTTTAAGAAAGAAAAAAAAATACTAGTTTATTAGCTATGGAGAGAAAAAGATTTCAAAGTTCATACCTCCGGGACACCTCCTACACGTGTACTGACTGTTAATAATCCACAACTAGCAGCCTCTAAGATCGCTATGCAAAAAGCTTCTGTTAAAGAACTGCCAGAAGGGAAAAATCGTATCATAAAAATTACAACAAAAGGTAACGTTTTTGACAGACATAGATGAAGTTGAATATATGTTGGTGCAAATTCATTCACATTTATATATTACTAAAGTTGTGAACCTGTGATGCTTTCTCCATAGTTTCGACAATTAGCTAGTCAGAAAAAGAAATATGACTATGCTCCAATGTATCTGCAAGCAATTGCAACTCCTAATTTACTTATGTTTCAAATTGTATTGATAGTATCACTGGTATTAATAACACCACTGTTTAACTTCAAACAATAAAGACAATTTGACCACCAGTTGTAGTAAACTACAAGATTCCCAACGATTTAATTTTTTCGCCTGAGTTGGTGTAGCTACAAAAGTTGTTCTTCAGATATTTAAAAAAGATAAAATGAAAGAAGATATTCATAAGTACCTGTTTAAGAATATATGGCCAGTAATTAGGACAGATCGTACTTGAGAGTGTTGCACGGCACCTAACATCTCAACTCGATCTTGAAGAGAATGTTTTTCCCTCATCTCTTCCAACCGCACACGTTTCGGTCCATCTCCTCCAACAATGAAACGAACCTTACCACATATTTCTGAATGAGATGATTGAATGCTAATTAACCATGTTAATAACTACATCCAATGATGTTATGCTCCAAATCACATTCAACATTTCTTTATATCAAAAGCATCCCCCTTAGGTTAGGCCTTCACACATCAAAATTGTTTTGCATGTCATGCTGACAAGTGATGAATATATGATCATCTCAGTATACAATCACAGAATTATTACATCCAATGATGTTATGCTCCAAACCACCCTCAACTTTTTCTTTATATCAAAAGCATCCCCTTAGGTTAGGCCTTCACGCATCAAAATTGTTTTGCGCGTAATGCTGACAAGTGATGAATATATGATCATCTTAATACACAATCACAGAATTATTGGCGCACACATTCAAGTCCTTTCCAATATTAAAATTCATTACACAGAATGGGCAAACATGATAAGAAACATAATATTTTCATTGAATGCTATGTGAAAACAACTCACATTGGGGTATAAACGGCATACTTCTGGAATGACTTCAACGAGAAGATCTGCACCCTTTCGGTAAACCAATCTACTTATAACAACAATTACAATTTCATGACTACTCAGGCGCTCTGGTGCGGGCTTGAACATAGCTGTGTCAACAGCATTTGGTATCACAAAGACCTTTTCTGGTGGCAAACCTGACCGTAGCACCGTGTTTTCCTTGCTTGTATGAGAAACACAAATGGCCTGACTTACTTCTGCCAATGTAAATTGCAATACCTTGTTCATGTGTATACTTCCCGCATCAGCAAAACCATAGAGTGAATGATCAGTAAATACGACCTTGTACCCCATTGTGCGTGCATGCATCAAAGCCTCATGGCAAAGAGTTGAGAAAGCTTGATGTCCATGTACCAGGGATATTTTCTCTCGAATAAGGATAGTCCTTACTATTGGAAGTGTCCCATAAAAGGTTGGAAAAGTATTCTGCATAAGAAACGGTTTCCATGGTACATAATACACTTTCAACCCGCCTGTCATGTATCTCACCCCAGAACGATTGTTGTAGGCATGAGTCATTACCACCACCTGAACAATCAAACAGTGAAAGTTAATCTAGTCAACAACTAATAGAACGAAGGAAGCTGATATGTGTCACGAAATATTTTCATTTTTTTATATCTCAAAACACTTGGCAGCTCAGATGTTCCAATCATATTAAAGCAACTACAAGAATACAGCAATATATAATCTGGCACCCACCCCCATCTCTAGAGAAACTCCTTATTACACCTTAGCTGCCACATCATTCAAGTCATGTATCATGATAAAATTTCCATTACTCCAAAATGGTGGTTCATCTAATGCCCCCATTACCTAGATGGGGGCCTCAACATCCTTGTGATGGAAAAGCAATATGAGATCATACAAATAAATAAATCAGCAGTTTGATTGAACTATTGTTTTTCAGTTATATTAGATAATTACATATACAAAAACACACATATTGAACCCAGAAAGTGGAAGAGAACCTATGTCTGACCTTGTGACCAAGCTTGAGAAGGCATTGTGAGAGATAATAGATGTGATTCTCCACACCACCAAAGTTGGGATAGAAAAAATCAGAGACCATGAGAATTCTATGCCTTTTCCACTCACCCATTTCTTTATTTTAATTGCCTGCAATTAAGTTCATTAAAAAAAAAAACTCATCTTTATGAGAAAAAGGCCCTGCCGATTGTTATAAATTAAATATTTTTGTCACGATCAACTGTAATGAGGCTTTAAACAATTCGAATCAACAACACTTGAAGCAATATGCAATGAACCGAACCCAGGATGAAGTCTATAACAACCTACATTGCATTAAAATCGGAATTCAAATATATCAAAATCTGAGCTTTGATTGGAGATTAAATTAGATTTGTTGTAGCTCATGAGCTTAAACATAAAATGGAATTGAGAGAGAGAACGAGAGAAATCAAATTACTTGAAATTACAGGGGAGCTGGATTGGGGCTGAGGCCTTCTGTGAATTTGAATTTTGACAAATGGCAAATCAAACTCGCAATCCCTAATTTGATACAGAAATTGGAATTGGGGGCGACGAGAGAGAGCGCATGGGTAAATATGAAAATTCAAATTTTAAAGCCAAAAGGCCTTCCCAGTTAAGCACTTAAGCTTAAGCCAAATGTCAGCTTTGCATTACTGGAAACAACACGGCAATGTAAAAGAAAATTTTGTTTTAAGCCAGTTGAGGTGTAAAAGAATTTAAAAAAGAGATTTTTTGTTTCCACTCTCCTCAGTTGTTTTCCCAAGTAAAATACTAAAATGTTTATGCTTATGAATTTGTAGATTATTTTTATAACTTTTTTATTCAGAAAAGTTTAGGGAGGGAGAGGTTACCCGACACCTAGGTTCAAGGCAAACTCCAGACCTTTTCTAATTTACAGAGGAATTTACATATACCTACCAAACACGGAATTGTTGGCAATGGAACTTGAACACTGGTGGAGCAAGATACATTGCAGAGACCTTACCAACTAAACCAACTCGTGTTGGCTTATAATTTGTAACTTAAGAGCTTGCTTTCTAACCTACACAAATGTTTGATGGAGACACATTGTAATTGACATAGTTGAAAAGAAAAGAAAAAAAAACTTTGCCGCAACTTGTGTTGGCATCAAGTACTTGAACAACAATCAAAATCTAGAAAATACCAAAACCACTATTTTGGCAAGTGTATTATTCTTTGTAGTATAGCATAATCATAAGAATATTGAATGTTTCATCAACTTTGATTTGATCTGAGTGTTCAAAATTGTATGTTGAGTTGTAAGAATGGTAGGTTACATGTCCTGTTTTAGTTATGTTTGACTTTTTGAACAATCTCACTATATTTTGCCCAAATAAATTGAGAAAAATAAAATCCGACTGTGGGTTGTTGATTGGGGCCAAATATCCTCATTCATTTTCCCTTCCTTACAATTGCATATGTATGTACCATTTTGATTCTTGATTCATGATTCATGATTCTTGATGATGCTTTCTTTTCCATTATGGTTTATGCAAGTACATTATATTCAACATTTTTTATAGGCAAAGCCCATTTTGGAGCATGCTCCAAGTATTGCTTTCTTTTTTTTTTTTTTTTTATCCTCCTCCTTAAATGTATGAAATCAACCAACTTGTTTGCTGATTAGCCACCCACTAACCCATTCTTAACTTACATATGCAATCCAAAAGTAAGTGTTGAAAATCATCCCAAGTGTTTGGCAAATTTGTAGGGTTTATTGCATTAAATTCCATTGATTTCAAATCCCCAAATCCAGTAGTTCATTGCAGGCTGCAGAGAAAGCCTCAGTTCTCTAACCTAGTACCAATAAATAATAATGACCCAATAAATTCAAGAAAAAGCAGTGCTTTCAAAAAATCAGAGAGAGAGAGGGTGAGCTGATAGATAGGCAGATGCGGAAAGGGAAGTATTCTTTGGCAGCAAAAAGAGATTAGAAAGTTTGGTCTGTCTAACAAAATCTGACCTCTTTTATGTGGGTTAGAACGTTTGGTTGGTCCTCATTGGGGTTTACGTTTGCACCCGGTAATCTTCTCGCAGACAATACAAAATCTACCGGTCAATCCCAAACAAACAAACCCCTCCCATCCCAACTATAAGCCCCAGTGCAGCCATTGCATTGGTTCTTGGGTGCTGCAACTTGTCACCACCAACACCTGAATGGCACGTGTCCTTCCCTCTAAAACCCAGGGTGCTTATAACATGTGGGAGATACTGAAAAATATTGGAAGAGCTTTCTACTACATGAAGTTTCTTCTTCTGCCTTTTTCAAGTTTCAACCTTATTTTTAATCTTTTTTCGAGTCAGTAAGATTTCCATGACCCCATTTGATCATTGTGCGCTCATGGAGCAATGGCATTTGTGCGAAAAGGCTCAAACTCAGGCACCAAACAGCTTTAAGGTAAGCCATCAACAACTTTCATTCAGCTTCTTTTATTTTGTTCTTGGTAAAATGAAATGGTTTCGGAATCTACAACGAAAAAGAGTATAGAAAAATGGTCTGTTGCTTTCATTTGTGAAGAAACTCGGTTGTTCCAGTTTGTGAAATGTTCAAGTATTTTTTGCCGTAGAGTTGTTTATGCATGGGGTAGCTTTTGCTTGTTTGGCTTCCTATACATAGTTTATTATGGATTTTTGGATGTCCTCGTTCTCAAATTTTGTAGCAAATGCGCACTCTGTTTCCTCTGTTTCCTCTGTTTCTGTGTTGGTTTTTTCATTTTTGGAAACGAGCAAGCAAACTGTCACGGCACATTCCCTCGTTGTTCTTGTTTGTTGGTAGTTTTAGACTTGAGGATTCTTATGGGATTATCTTATTTTCCTTAATTTGCATTAGCATTTGCAAGGCATCTTAGAGGTAGGGAGAAAATTACAGGGTTTGGTTTGTCTCTGTCTTTAATAATATTACCAGGTAAAAATAAAATCCAAATGAAGAAATTCTTGAAAGAAAATTATATGATGACCATATTTCAAAGTAGCGATATTTAAAGAAAAATTATATTTCACCTCATTATATAATTAATCATATTTCAAAGTTTAACAATAGCAATAAATAAGTAGCATGAAAGAGTGAGTTCAATTCATCCAACCCCATTGGAGGACGCATTTGAAATGTAAGTACCATGCCCTGACCCACAATAAGACAACTTCCCAAAGCTGGTTTGAACCCCACCTCACATTGCCCTCCAATTTTTATTGTTTCGTCTTTCACATGATGCCATTTGACTTTTAATACATTGGATTGAACCCAACAAAACCAAAAGGAAAAAGAAGAAAAAAAAAAATACACCAACTTTTGTTTGCTCACAGGAAAACCCTAATATTTATTAATAGTTAATTTTAATAATGATAGAAACTTTATTAGCCTTTAGCTAAAATTACAGCCGCTTGTGATTTGTGTCATGAAACCGCGTTTTTATTTTGTGATCAATTAAGAAAGAGAGTACAATAAAACAATTTATTTATATTGCTTTCCCACGTACTGGCTATTCATAGGAACTGAAAAGCTCTAACTAAGATTGGTAGGTCATACTTGATCCCACCAAAAAAAGTATTAGTAGGTCATGCTTTTATCTGTGTTTCATGGACCTAGTCGTCAATTGAGAAATGAAAATGAAATCTCTTTATAGGTCCCATTACGCATTGTATTCCGAACTTATATTTTTATTTTAAATAGAAATCCCCTAAATATAAGGGGATATAGGATTTATATATTATATCAGTGTCATGGAAAGAAAGACAAATTAAGAGAATATAAGCTTAAATAGTAATAATATGTAGGGAGAAGAAGAAAAGAAAAAAAACAAGCAGGTAGAGGGTCAACGAAGTTGCACTACAACCTACTGAATGGTCAACCATCTACCAATCGCCTGGTGGAGTGAGATGACTGGTTGTTTGAGTGGATGGTCAGATATGGGCCTTTGGATTTTGGTCAAACCATAGCATTACAACAAACAAATAGCTTCTCATAGTTTGAAGACAACCAAAAAAAAAAAAAAAAAAAAAAAAAAAAAAAAAAGCACAAAGCTTCTCATAGCTCTACAAACAACAATACTTTAAGGAGCCAAGCACGCCACTAATTATTGTCCTCCATTTTGTTTAAATCTTAATAGGTTTTATTTTAATAAATAAATAAATAATTGGTATATTAATTATTTTCTATATTTGTAGGGTGCAAATAATTTTCGTTTTGTTTTTTTTTCTTCCCATTAGTAGTCAAAATCCACAAAGTAGGTAGGAGGGAGCCTTGCATTCCCCACCAAGCACCAACTTTTGGGTGAGTGTTAAATAGTTTTGTGGTCCAAGAAAAGAAAAGACAACCACCAACAATTTATTTTGGGCTAAAATAATTATCTTGGCAAATGTTTATGGCCCAACTAGATTGGTATTCCAGACCAGCCCAGTCTGTCTACCTTGTTTTATTTATCTGGGTTTGAGTTTTGTGTTTTTGGGTCAACATCTGATTGATTCAAATCCAATTTCTTTCTTCAAAATCGACATAGTTAGAGCATGTTTTAAGAGTATAATAGCTGGTTTTGCGAGGCATCTTATAACATGAATCAATTCAATTGTGCTGAGAATGCAAATAATAATATACTGCTTCTTTGATTTTCATCGTCCGAATATGCATGGTTATGCAGGAGGCTCTTCATGGAGCACCGGCGATCGTCACGTCAGCAGACATATATTGTGTTTGGAGATTGAAGAATTACCAAACTGATCATACGTACCAGACTGAAAGTTAATTATACTGCAGATTAATTCTTGCTCTGTCGTGCTGATCATAGTAAGTTTTCTTCATTTCATCCTTAATTAATATGGATGTTACTGCTTCAAACTATGCATATACGTACGTACGTTAAATGAATGGCTTCTAGCTTTACTGATATATACATATATCATATGTGTGTATCATATCGTACGTTAAATGAATAGCTTCTAGCTTTGCTGAGAAAAAAAAACCTCTTGCTCTTCGTCATCATGTGTTCTTACTATAGTTGAGTCTATGAACAATGTGCATGGAGAATGGTAGATACGTAAAACAACCCAAGAATTAATGCTGTTCTACAAACATATATGTTCAAACATTACGAATATTTTACAAAGTATTAACAGTTAAACCTCTCTCTCTCTCGCTCTCTCTCTCTCTCAAGCGTTCCCTCACTCACTACTTATAATGGCTCAAATTTAAGCTAACTGTCATTATACACTAAGGTCATGTTTAGTGCATGGGATTAGATTGAATAATTCCAATTATATATACTCGACTTTAAGGTATGAAGGTCAACTTTCAAATTTTGTTCAAAATACAATGAATTAGTCATGAAAGAAACTTATTCATTTCTAATCCTCCAAAATGATAGGATGTCAACACCTTATAACTTATCCCTTGTAATCCTCACAAAATGAAAAATTCTTAAATTTCTTACTCTTCGATAATCTTGTAAATAATCCAATTCAATCTAATCCTAGGCACCAAACATAAAATGATTGTTTTTGGAAGGATAGAAGATGGTGTGTTTTAGGTATATATATGACCAATTTTCAGCTAGTAATCGTCAGGTTAGTTTGAACCAAACTAAAAAATTATCTGGTATATGTTACCAAGTCCAGAGTGTTGATCTTGATTATGCTTCTCACTCTTCCAAAGCTCCACCCAAATGCCATTTTCCTTTCCCTCTTCAGTTCTATCGATTAATTTCACAATGTCCAGGTATTGTGTTTCTCATGCATGGGGAGCTCTCAAAGTATATGCCAATGCTAGTTCCAAAAATACGCTGACCTTCAGATTAACCTATATACCTAGGATCAACTGCACTTCTTTGAATGTACACTGTGCTAATATAGCCTTTATAGTTATACTACTAGCTAAATGTACAATAGAGTCTAAGTTAATTTGTAATTTTATTCAAGCAAACCTACGGATTACATGGTAATCGCAAACTAATTAAGGCATCTATGTATACCCTAACATTGATTTACACAAATACATGCATCAGTTTTCTTTGAGTACAAGAATAAATGTATACATAGATGAATTATATATACTGACCAGATTAGACGAATTAATAAGAAGCTACGACGGATAAATATTTGACAATATATTTTAGCTTCAAGCCTTTAATGGAATTAATCTCTTCTACGTTCTGATGAGGTACGTTTGAGTACCTGTATATGTTCAGATAAAAAGATCATTCACCTTCCATCAATAGAAAGAAATCAAGAATACATATGTATATATATGCTCATGAAAGTTTGCCAAAATGTTCCATGCATGCATCCGACATTCAAATAAGAATTTGTTAATCTTTTATTCTCTTTCGTTTGTTTATTTCGACATTAGTTTACATATGTAAGTAAGCTTTGAAAGATCAAATATGGCCTTTGAGCTGCATCAGTGCCTCTATACCCCAGTTTTTCTTGCAGTGACATCAATAGTTCTGTTTGTAAGCTTGATATGATTAATGTAGGCCTAGTCTTTAACAATATAAACATTTCATGATATATTGATTGTCTAACATGGTATCAAAATCCTATGTGTAAGAGGTCTTGAGTTCGAAACCTCCACATTCATATATTCCTCGTTAATTTCTTTGTTGGTTTGCAACTCTTCTCTCTCTTGTGTGGCTCATATCTTAAACTTTTGGTGCTGATGATTTTCTAACACCGTCGAGTTTTATATCTGAGCCTGAGGAAGTGAATAAAACTATTTTGTGTTTTGGCTAAGTATATCTGATGATTCAGTTTGTGATTGTGATAGTTTATAATTTGAATGATCTTCATGCATGCAACATCTCTGTGTTGAAACTTATTTGGCTTCAAGCTAGCATGTGTAATCCATTTACTCATTGTATACATATGTATACACCTCGATGAGCACTTAATCTGTTGAGAAGATCAAGTTTGGTAGACGTATTATATTTTTGAATTGCAAACATTATGAGCCTAACAAGATTTCAGCATGAAAACAAGATTCACTTGGGATATATATAAACTAGTAATCTTAGTTATAGCCCTTTTTAATCCATCTACACTGAGAATATGACGAGTATAGTATACTTCATATATATATGGTCGGGTCATTAGAGTTTACAAACAAAATTATAGAAATGTGAGTGAATTACAAAACATGAAAACAAATTAATTCACACACAAAAGTAGTACTTATATATATATTTATATTATTAATCAACATCGATCTAATGCTTGTTTACAACACATTTAGAACAATACAAACATGAACATACATTGATGAAGGCCACAAATAAAGCCAAAATCATCATCAAGAGAGGATGAAGTACATACTAGTCGAATAAATAGATAACACACAAAATCATACAAATATCATATCATATATATGATATTGATCCAACCCTATAACTAATTTCCATAAATAAACTAATTAAGCAACTGTTGTGTTTGTTTCAATCTGCGCAGTGCATGCGATGGATCGAACAGGGGCGGGCTAGCTGGCTACTACTCCGTTTGATCATTGAGTACCCTGTGGTGATCGTTTTGGATAAAAGCAGAAGACATGAGCACAGCAGATTCCCAGCCAAAAGTGGATGGCGCAGTTGCACCAGCACCACTAGAAATCAAAGGAACATGATGATCCGAACCATCAACAGCAGCTGCATTATGTGCATTATTCCCGTTCTGAAGTAGTACTTGTTGTTGCAAATGGTGTTGGCCAGCAAATGGATCCTCGTTGATTAATGAATTCAGGAACGAAGAGAAGACATCGTCGGCGCAACAATTCATATCATCGTCCTCTTCATTCCCCCCAAGTAGTGCTCCTCCATGATTGCTGCCGTTGCTTCTCAAGCTCAAAGTTCCCATTGCCGCTGCAGAAGCGTGATCAGATGTCGTCATGTTTGCATAGCCATGGACCATGGTGCCCAGCTCCTGATCATCAACAAGGTACCCATTTTCCTTGTTGGCAATATTTGTGACGATATTCCCATTATTGCCATTAGTATTGGGAGCTGCCCCCCGATGATGAGCCAGAGGCTCAGAAGGCTCAGAAGTAGGAGGAGGACTAGGGTTAGTGTTTGAGCTGAAGCGATTGGTTTTGGAAGAAGAAACTGTTGCTGCTTTGTTAATGTTGTTGTCCATGTCAGCAGCAGCAACAACAGTAGCCGAGGAATGAATATCTGGATTTAGAGGCTTGTGGGTTCTGGGATCTATGCCTTGGCTGATCAGCTTCTTGCTCAGGTGCGTGTTCCAGTAGTTCTTTATCTCATTGTCCGTACGCCCTGGGATCCTCCCAGCTATCAAAGACCACCTATACATACATATAATTCATTAATTCAAACACTCGATCTTAACAGTGAAACCCTAACCCTAGAAATCAATAAGTAATTATACATATGTGTGTGTAGAATGGATGATGATGATGATGATGATGATGATGGGCATATATATATATATGTATGTATATATGTATACCGGTTGCCCAGGAGGCGATGGAGGCGAAGGATGAGATCTTCTTCGTCGGGGGCGATCTGGCCGCGCTTGACAGAAGGGCGGAGGTAGTTCATCCAGCGGAGGCGGCAGCTCTTGCCGCAGCGGAGCAGCCCCGCTCTCTTGGGTAGGGTCCGCCATCGGCCCTCACCTTCTTTATTGATGTAATTGGACAAGAGCTCGTCCTCTTCGGGCGTCCACGGCCCTCTCTTCAAACCCACCTTGATACAACACGGTGTCTTGCTCCCACCACTGGTCCCCGCCGCCTTGCTCGACGACGACGATGTTATTTTCGTTGGTATTGAAGTTGCTGTCGCTGCAGCTGCTGCTGCTGCTGCCGCTTTTGACGACGATGACGATGACGATGACGATGGGTTTCTCATTATTGAAGCAAAGCTGCCTCGACTTCTTCTGAGTGAGTAGGGTAAGGCTATAGCACTCAAATGCCGTCGGCAAGTGATATCTTGGAAATCTCTGGGGATGGAAGAAGATGGTAATTGGGTAGCTAGCAATAGTTGTTCTGATCTTGTTTCTCTGCCCTTCTTCTTGTGTATATTTAATTTTTGTATTTTTTTTTAAAAGTTTGTTGGTATTGAGAGAGAGGATGGGTGTGGGATGCGAGTCCAGACAGATTTCAGGGGTATGGTGTAATATGCTGATCACGAACTGATAACTCCTCACGCGCCTTTCAACTGCCTGGACATCACGACCAATAGTTCACTCTTCTCTGCTTTATTTTAGTGCCCTAATGATTTTACGGCACTACCAGTGGAATTCCTGCTTTAGTGAGCAAGTGTATATACATGGGTTTAATATGAACTCTACAAATCCTATTTTCTTCTTTATTTTTGTGTTGATTTTATTTTTATTTTTGAAATTATCAATAAGGTTGTTTTTACACTATTTTTGAAGGTAAATAAGTTTGCCATAAAATGAATCCAGCGTATTTCATAAATTTTTTATGAGTAGATTTTTTTTTCTTTTTAAAAGATTTATTTTATAATAAATGAACTTGTAGCTAAAGTGGTTAAGAGCATTTATTTTAGGAGTAGTTACGGTTCGGTAACCGCGAATTTTTCCCGAACCGCAAACCGACCGACTATTTGCGGTAAGATGATTTTTGAAACCGCAAACCATTAATTAATGGTTTAAACCGATTTGAATATTTTGGGACTAAATTAGACAATTTTAAATCTTTAAGTGCGGTCTTTTTGTGTCATAAAAATTCAATCTTCCACACTTTTAAGCTTAAGTTTGATGCTTCTTTTGAAACTTTTTGAGTTCAAGCATACTTTAGCCAAAAAATATAAATTCACAACCTAAAGAAATAAATTCACAACCTCAACTTCTCAAGCATATATAAATTTACACCTAAAGAAATAAATTCACAACCTCAACTTCTTAAGCATATATAAATTCACAACCTCAACTCCTCAAGCATATATAAATTTACAACCTAAAGAAATAAATTCACAACTTCAACTTCTGAAGCATATATAAATTTACAACCTAAAGAAATAAATTCACAACCTCAACTTCTCAAGCATATATAAATTCACAACATCAACCTCAACTTCTCAAGCATTCACAACCTAAAAAAAAATCCAATTCAAAGTTAATTAAAGTTACAAACCAAAAGGAGAACTCAAATGTAGGTAGTGGTGAGTGGATTTTATTATAAGAAGAAGCGTTTCTTTATGAGTTGGAGTGGAGGTTGTGTTTCGAGTGTATCGGTTTGTGTTTGGGGGAAACACAACACAACACAAAAGCAACAACATAAAAACATATTAATAATAGATTAAACTCAACCAAATTAAAACACAACATCTAACTACTAAAATGCAATTTTTTGAAAAATATATTTGCGGTTTGAGATAACTGCGAGTTGCCAAAATCACATACCGCAACCGCAATTGCTGTTCGGTTTCTAAAACCGCAATTTTCAGTTGGTTTTTAGCTATTGCGGTATAATGTCGGTTGATTTTTGCAGTTTTTCAGTCTAAAATACCACCCATAATTTATTTATACATTCAAGATCCTAAAAATAAATTAAACTCTCCTCTCACAATATTTCTTGTATATAAAAAAGAATCTTAGAATTCTATTTTTTAAGTTCAATTTTCTGGAAAAGAGCTGTGGATATGGTAAAAGTTACTATGAAAAGAATGACGCCTTTGAGTTGAGTGTTTACAGGGGAGAGTTTGAGTCCACCTTCCTTGAATGCGTGTGGAGGTCTTTGGTCATAAAGTGAAGCCGCAAGAGACAGCGAGGATGGCTGAAGATTGGGCCCACAGAGCACTCTGCCACTATTTCTCTCTCTTTTTTGGGCAGTCAGTCATTATTTCTCTCTTCTTTTAAATGTTTTTATCGGACATAAAATCAATTACAAATTAGAATGAGCCACTCTCCAGCCTCCGCTTTAAAGCGAATTGGATTTTTGCTGTTTTAACCATAAACTCATGCACCACGTGCACAGGAGATGCGAACCTCCAGTCAATGCAAAACAAAACTTTTGAGATATGACGAGTCTCACTCTCTCTCTCTCTCTCTCTCTCTCTCTACCTTCTTCATTCACGAATTGAAACTTGAAGCAGAAAGATAGACTGGTCCTAAAAATCAAATCAATCATATATATACTCATTTACAAATTCATGTTGCCATTGTAGTCTCTAATCTCATATGCTTGTATTTTTGCTCTGAGTTGAAGCGTCTCGCACTCTCTGCCAAGCCTTTAGATAACAGCACCTTCAATATATCAACTCCCTCTTGTAAAGCAGCATCAATCTAACATCATAAAGCCCACAGCATCATTCAAAACTTCAAAACACCAAATGAATATCCAATTCCATCAAATGCAGGACTCAGTATACAAAACGACCATGTACTTACTCGTCCTTGAGCCGTTGCATTAAATTTCTGGAGCAAGAATGCTTTGGGATCCATTTGACCAGGAGGTCTCCCGATACCTAACAAGGAATTCATCATATTTCTAGCACTGCAAAAGATATCATAACAACAACAAAAAACAAAAATGTGAACATTCAAACTAACCGATTCTGAGCCGAGGAAATTCTCTGTTCCCACGAAAGTGATACATTACACTCTTCACCCTGAATAATTAATAGCTTCAAAAGATAGGTAATGATATTCCACATATGCTCCTTAAGTTTGAAACAAGGGGTGGGGGGAAGCAAAATTGAAAGGCCTTTCAAGAGAGGACAAAATTAAACACTATTCAGTACTACTCACTACTCAGAGGATTGGCAAGAAGAACTCAAGCAACACCACAATAGCCATGGTCCTTACTCTTAAGAGACGAAATAGTGATGTTCTTACTAGGTCACAAGAGCCATTCTAATGTATATATCCTATATAATTACCTCCTCGTGATAAAGCATGCTACTAATCAGCTACTTAATTAACTATTGTAAAAACCTGGGTTTAAGTAGGTTCTAACAGTTTGACAAAACATTTCCAACATTACTTAATCATTTTGAACTTTAGAAGTAAATCTGCTTAAATATCACACTAGAATATTTTGATCATACCCATTGTGGCATCCATGACCTCCATTTGGGTGAAGACGAAGTACCCCACATGGTAAGTTCATGTCATCATGGAACTACAAACAAGAATAAATAAACAAATACAATAAATATATTTTTTTTTTTAAACACAGATACTATCAAGTAATAAAAACTTAAAAATGGGAGAATGGATGTACCACTAGCACACGATTGAGAGGTAGCTTATAATAAGCAGCAAGTGGTCCTGTCTGCAGATCAGTTGAATAAAGAGAACACGCTGTTATATTCTTTCTCTAACATAATCAGTAGTATCAATAGCTCTTACATACAAAACTGAATCAGTTAAACATCAGAAAGAAATATAAATTTATAAGTGTGCTAGAAGGAATGGAATGGAATACAGAGTACGAATATCACATCTGTTTTCATAGAAGACTAACTCCCATTCCCAGTTATACAGAAGTAATAAACATAAAGAGAAAATACTAGATTAAGGAATAACCTTTTTTGAAAACAAAATTCCATCAGATGTTAACAGGAAATATATCAGTCACTTACAGATTCACCACTCAAATTCATGTAAGTTTGAGGCTTTGCAAGAAAAAGGGGAACTTCACCCACGAAACCTGGCATACCAAAGTTCCATGAACTTCACAAACAAAATAACAACCAAAGAAAAGTATGCAAATATTTACATGCCTTTCCCAAAGATAGCTTTGCAATGCACCGTGCTCATTTCAATTCCTTGCGAATTAGCAAAAGCATCAATCATCTCAAACCCCACCTGCTTCAAACCAAAAGAAAAGGAGAGAATTTGAAACTTGTTCATAAAACAAAAAAAGAACAAAACATGAAAGTTCAAAGTATGGTATGGTACATTGTGCCTAGTTCCTTTGTACTTAACGCCTGGATTGCCCAAACCCACAAATAGCCACGGCTTTGGAGCAGCAGTGCAAAAGTAACGCCTACCCAACCTATTAAGCATCTTCCTCGGTGCCTCGGACTAGGCCTCACAGTACCATAATTCACCGAAAAATGAACTCCAAAGTCTGCAGCGCACCTGCCATTCACAACTTTTTACAAACAACTAGAGTGCATTCAAGATGTATATAGTGTGTGCGGTCTTAAACTGTCTCCAACGGAGAAATGTGCAATACAATATGCAATGCATATTGAAATGGTATGTCAAAAAATTGAATGAGGACCCAAAAGAAGCAAAGCCAAACCCAAGAGCCCTATCACAGAATCCAAAGGAAATAATCGATTTTTCTCAAAAGAAAATGTTGTTTACTGGAATTCCATACTTGCCAAATTTGAGCTTACCTCAAATAACCAGTAAGTGAGTGAGAGAGAAGGCGCCAGCTATGGCTTTGGAAACTTTGGGTGCTCCAACGAGCAACCACGATGGCGCTGGTTATTTTTGAGAAACTACAAAAGACACGGTTGCTGAAGGCCTAAACGCAGTCGTCTTGTTCTCCCTGCCCACTAGCCTACGGCACTTGCATGTACTTCAGACGGCGAGCTCCGGCAGTTTCATTGCAGCTGCTCCTTCCTCTGGTGTTGGCCGTAAGAAAGAATATCGGGACGATCAGACACAGCCGTGGACATTCTGACCATGAGAGGAATGAAGTGGGAAATGAGTATCGGCCCGACTACCTTGCGGGTCAAAATGACCCATGCCCCAAACCTCGAGGACTTAGGGTCCGGCCCATTTTATAGGTCAATATGAAAATTTTCTACTATGACTCGGCCATAAATATATGTGGGCAAAAACCTGGTCAAACCAAACCAATCTAACTAATTTAATTTGTTTTAACACTAAAAAAGTGTAATTTTGGACCGAATTGAATCAAATCAGGTCATAGTTAGTTTAGTTTGATTTGGTTTGGCCTATATGAAAACCATCTTAAGCAAGTCGAATTGTCTATGTTAATTCTATTATTTCGTGGCATTTGACATCTTTTTATTCGTTATCACACTATTATGTTTCATCTAACACAGATAGATATCAAGCTTTAATATAATTAGATTGTTACTTTGCTGTTTATATGGAATTTTGAATGTTATATATTTAGACATTAGACTAGTGAATTCAAAGTTGCATTTTTATGTGCTTAACATTGTTAAGATTGTTTAGGTCGATGATTTTGACTTCATAAGATTATAAGAGATGAAAATTATTTGATGCGTTTGTTTAAACTTTCAAGTATATATAAAATTATTATGTTTTGTTTCACATGATTATTAGATTTGAAATTTGTGTAAATGAATGTTATGGAAAATGAAAATGGTCTTAATTTGTAGATCAGTGACTTCAAATTTGAATCCCCATGACATATTGACAGTGTGTGTGAGAAACCCTTATCACCTTAATAACTTTGGAAAAAAAAAGAAGAAGACCTAAACTGTAAAACTTCTCAAACCAATTTGTCCAACTGTGATTGGGTTGGTTTGGTTTTCTATTGATTTGAGCTAAAAACTGAACTAGACCACACCACTTAATCATTAATTAGTTTGATTGTGGTTTGAGAGTGGAATCAATCCAAACTCAACCACAACCACCCATAATTATAAATCTATTTTCAATTTTTGATACATTTAATCATGTTTAAATAATTAATAGTGCGTTTGGATGAGGAAATTTATAAGTACAAAGGAATTTATAAATGATGGAATCTAAAATAACGGAAATTAATATTCTAGGATTTGTAAAATTTATTGTTTGGATAATGAATTTAAATACATAATTTAACCTTCACTTGTAAAGTTATCTTTTTTCAAAAACTCAATATCTCTTGTAATTTTAGAAATGAATATTTTTTAGATAGCATTTAAAGTTGGGATTTATAACCACAAAATTCCATGTTTTTTCCCAAGTGAAATTCCTAAATTTTTATGTTTTTTATTTATTTATCCAAATACGGAAATTTGTTCATGTCAATTTAAAAATTCTAATTTTTGTTAAAATTCCAAGTTTATTTTCCTATCCAAACCTACTGTGAAGGAAAGTTTAAAATGACATACAAATAAAAAGGGAAAATTTAGAAAATGGCATGTCTTCCAAAGTAACCAAAAATAGAAAATTCGATAAAAGGCAAATGTCTACAATAATAATAATAATTTAAAAGGAAAGAAATAATTAAAAATTAAAATGAGGAGCTTTGTGCTTTGTGGAAAGGTTGGCTTTGGTTTACAAATTAAATTTATTAATTGGCACGGGTATTTGGAACAGAAATTAAAAATAGAATAGAATTGCATCGTCACGAAAGATAAAATTCCCTCCAAAAATATATTTGGATAGAAAATAATTTAAATAAATCATGATTGATGAGTGACCCACAAATAAGACATACAGCTAATGATCCATTGGATAATCAAAGTCCTTGCGCTTGCTTTTCCCTAATTAGGAGCCCCACTCCTCTACACCCACTCCTACTTTTAGCGCACCGCACCCTTTCTCCGAAAAAACCCCAAAAATCAAAACTATAGCGAAGTGAGAGGAGAGAGAGAGCGCCAGCCACCTTTGCAGGCTCTCTCACATACACTCATCCGCAGCCAAAAGCCTCAAAAAGCCCTAAAACCGTAACTGAGTGGTGAGGTTGTTTGTTGCAGCAATGGCCGACTCGACTCAGCTACAGCATGCCCAACTGGCGACGATTCTCGGCCCCGACCCGGCCCCTTTCCAAACCCTAATCTCCCACCTCATGTCCTCCTCCAACGAGCAGCGATCCCAAGCCGAGCTCCTCTTCAACCTCTGCAAGCAGACCGATCCCGACTCGCTCTCCCTCAAACTCGCCCACCTTCTCCAGTTCTCTCCCGCCCCGGAGGCCCGAGCCATGTCCGCCATTCTCCTCCGCAAGCAGCTCACTCGCGACGACTCGTACCTCTGGCCCCGCCTCTCCCCCGCCACCCAATCCAATCTCAAAACCATTCTCTTGACCTGTATTCAGCGCGAGGACACCAAATCCATATCCAAGAAGCTCTGCGACACCATTTCCGAGCTCGCCTCCGGGATTTTGCCTGATAACGCCTGGCCCGAGCTCTTGCCTTTCATGTTCCAATGCGTCTCCTCCGATTCGCCCAAGCTTCAAGAATCGGCGTTTTTGATATTCGCGCAGCTCTCGCAGTACATCGGCGACACCTTGGTGCCGCATATAAAGGAATTGCACGCCGTGTTCTTGCATAGTTTGGGAAACTCGTCAAGCGCCGAAGTGAAGATCGCGGCCTTGAACGCCGTCATCAATTTCATCCAGTGTTTGACTAGCTCTGCCGATAGGGATAGGTTTCAGGACCTGTTGCCGGCGATGATGAGGACGCTGATGGAGGCTTTGAACAACGGGAACGAGGCCACAGCGCAGGAGGCTCTCGAGTTGTTGATCGAATTGGCTGGGACCGAGCCCAGGTTCCTCAGGCGGCAGATTGTGGAGGTGGTCGGGTCTATGCTGCAGATTGCCGAGGCCGAGTCGTTGGAAGAAGGGACCAGGCACTTGGCCATTGAGTTCGTCATCACGCTCGCCGAGGCCAGAGAGCGTGCGCCTGGGATGATGAGGAAGTTGCCGCAGTTTATAAGCCGATTGTTCGCTATTTTGATGAGTATGCTTTTGGATATCCAGGACGATCCCGCATGGAATACAGCAGAGACTGAAGATGAGGAAGCAGGTGAGACCAGTAATTACAGTGTGGGGCAGGAGTGTTTGGATCGGCTTGCTATATCCCTGGGTGGGAATACCATTGTTCCAGTCGCTTCCGAGCAGTTGCCGGCATATTTGGCTGCCCCCGAGTGGCAGAAGCACCATGCTGCGTTGATTGCCCTAGCTCAGATTGCCGAAGGTTGCGCTAAGGTATCGATTGTTATCATAATTGTTATTATATTATACTAGGGATAGTTGTTGCTCCAACCACTTAGATGCTCCACAATTAATCACATATGGAATGCTTTGCATGCTTTTTCTGTTGGAGTGTAGAATTTGAGGTCTGGTAATAAGAGGCCCGAGGTTTTTGACTTGTGTTGAAGACACTGTTGTGTGAACATGAGTAGCTGACAAGATAGAGATGTAATGAGAGAGTCATCTAGAATCAAATTTCTCATGTTTATCCGGTTTGATTATCACATCCACACTTACCAAGTATGAATGAAAAGTTTTCATGGCAGATATAAGACAAATTTTGTGTAAAATGTTTGCACATATACGCTCGCATATCCCTACTCTTGATGCAGTTTTCAAGGGGTCAGTCTCAGTTCCATATCATCAATACTACCAAAGGAAAAAAAAGTTCTATATCATCAACTATAAGAAAAGTTCATCCCCAGAGTACTTTCCTTCATTGCCCTTTCTCTCTAAAGTTGTGGGAGATGTTACTGAAGGAAGTTAACACGGCATGGGTAATACCGGAAGGCTGCTTTGAACTTTTTTCCATCAGATTTGATGCTTTGGGAAGGGGAAAGAAAGCTAAAATTCTCTGGGGCTGTCTGATGCAGGCAGTGGTCTGGAACCTATGGCTGGAACGTAACAGGAGACTCTTTGAGGATTATAAGGGAGTGGGAGTGGTAGAGTTATGGGATAGAGTGAAGTTTTGGGCTGCCCTTTGGGCATCAACTTCCCTTGCTTTTAAGGATATATCCTACCCTACTATTATACACAATCTACTGGCTGTAGTATCTTAAGGGGCTGTCTTTGTTTGGTTGTTTTAGTTCTGTGTTGAGTGGCTTTGTGTCTGTTTCACCGGCTAGTGTTTTCTTTTTGTCTGTGTTCTAAATGTCCTTGTTTTTGATCCTTTCAATTTGAATAAAAATGTTTCTATTAAAAAGAAAAAGAAAAAAAAAGAGTACTTTTGTGCAGATTCTCTTTCTTCTAGTTAAAATGAATTGCCGTTTACATTATTGTTAATGGTATTCTGTTCCTTTTTATTTTTGTTGCAGGTAATGATTAAAAATTTAGAGCAAGTGGTGGCAATGGTCTTGAACTCATTTCAAGATCCGCATCCTCGTGTAAGGTGGGCAGCTATTAATGCAATTGGGCAGTTGTCTACGGATTTGGGCCCAGATCTGCAAGTTCAATATCATCAGCAGGTGCTTCCAGCATTGGCTGCTGCTATGGATGATTTTCAGAACCCTCGTGTTCAGGTTAGTTCCCGGATACGGCATTTGGTCCTATTTCTGAATAATTGATTGGTATTTAGTTTCAATGTTTGACTGGTGAAGGATTTTTTTCTTTCCAAGCTAGTTTCATCTTTAACCTGCAAATAAGGTGCACTATAACTATAAATACTTGAAAAGTGGGGAAAAAAAAAAACTAAGGTGCATTTATTCCCAGGTGACCAGGAAACGAATATTGACAGGCAGTTTCTCATCTTAACGATGCTTTACAAGTTGGGCACTGTAGAGCATTATGATTTGTATAAGGTTGCTTAAATCAATATTTCAAGCAGTTAGGTCATCTCACATTACTCGAGGAGAGCCCTAATTTATTTAGTTCATTGCTGTTTGTCTTGTTTATTTTATTTATTGGGGCAGGAGAATGAGTCTTTTACCTGCTGGGAAGTCATACATGCATGAATGCATATTTCTGGTTGATTGTAGTCTCATTTATTTGGAAGTATGGCCCTTTTGAAAGTTATTACAAAGTACGTTAGAAAACAAATTGCGATGAGCTTTAATTTTTTGAGATACCGTTGGTTTCCACACTTGCAAACTAGCCTCTGTTTGAGTTGCTTTATATCCTCAATTTGTAAACGAGGGTGATGGCTCTGGAGGATATTGAATATGCTGGCGTGCCCTTTATTCAGCTCGTTGTCAGGGTCATTATTGCACATGCAAGATTATCTATTCATTGATTTCTTTTTGTAATTTGATATCTGCAGGCACATGCTGCTTCAGCAGTGCTCAACTTCAGCGAGAATTGTACTCCAGATATTTTAACACCTTATTTGGATGGAGTAGTGAGCAAATTGCTAGTACTTCTGCAGGTAAGTGCTTCTTACAAGTATATATATGCATGTGCATATTTATATATGTTACCACATTCGTGGCACTAATATTTATTTTACTCGTATCTAAATTTTTATGTCTTGTTCAGAATGGGAAACAAATGGTGCAAGAGGGAGCCTTGACTGCTTTGGCATCAGTTGCTGATTCATCTCAGGTATTGTTCTATATAATATACTATTCTATTTGTTTTTTTTTTTTTTTTTTTTTTTTTTGGGTGATTCAATCTGATGGTAATTGGATGGTGTAGGAGCATTTCCAAAAATACTATGATGCAGTTATGCCTTACCTAAAAGCTATCTTGATGAATGCAACTGATAAATCTAATCGTATGCTTCGTGCCAAATCCATGGAGTGCATTAGTTTGGTTGGTATGGCTGTTGGAAAGGATAAATTCAGGGATGATGCTAAGCAGGTAAGACATTATATATTTGAAACCACCTTTCCCTGTATTGGAGCATCCTCCTTTTAGAATTTGTATTCATGTATCTTGCATATCAATGGCTATTGGACGGACGCAAGAGCATGGACTACTTCAATTTTTTATTTATTTAGCTGCTTATCCATATCAAATTTATAATTTGCTATTTTGATTCATTTCCTAACTTTCCCCCCGAATTTAAATTTGATTTCGTCAGAAGTTAACTTTTCCTTTCTCTTGTGCACTCTACAATATTCAAGTTATATGATTAAGCTCTTTTCTATTTCTTGAAAGAGAAATAAAAAAATTTGATTATTTTAACCTGTTAAAATGCTGCTGTCATTTTACTAATCTAAGAAATATGTTAGAGCAATGCTGCCAATTTCTTGTTGGTGTGTTTGAAGTCAGCTAATAATTTATATACTGATATACTGAGGCTTATAAGTACAGACTGATCCTTGCTATTTTCTCTAAAGGTCATGGAAGTGCTGATGGCTTTGCAAGGATCTCAAATGGAGACAGATGATCCAACTACAAGTTACATGCTACAAGTATGCTCTTATCCCATAAATTGCACACAAATTGCTCTAATACCAACTTATTATTTGCAATAAAAATTCATCTACAATGCTGTAGGCATGGGCTAGACTTTGCAAGTGTTTAGGACAAGATTTCCTCCCCTACATGAGTGTTGTAATGCCTCCTTTGCTTCAGTCTGCTCAACTTAAGCCAGATGTAACCATTACATCTGCAGATGACAATAGTGATATTGATGACTCTGATGATGAAAGGTACAATATTTTTTTTTAAATAACCTTTTGCCCTTTATGTAAGAAAAGTACGAATACGCATGCATGGTGTTCTTGAATGTGCCATCACTACCTATTTCTTGGTATCCTTCCTAAGGGTTACTGAAAGCTGGATCTAGTGTAGACTCCTATGGTCTTTCACCACATTTGCACCATTATCTGCATGCCCCAAAAACTAGTGTGCATGGGTAACCATAATGGCTTTCACATCCATATCAACATTTTTATATGCGTAAACTCTTGATGGTTATCTGTGTGAATTTCCAATTTCGTAGTTGAAAGTGTGTGAGGTGTAGTTTTGGTAAGGGAGTGCATAAGATATTATGATCTAGCAGTCGTGTTGTTATTGCTGCAGAGTGGTAGTTGCTGTCTTGCTAAAAGTTTCCTTTTCTATTACAGTATGGAAACAATTACTCTTGGGGATAAACGGATTGGAATCAAGACTAGTGTCCTGGAGGAAAAAGCTACAGCTTGCAATATGCTGTGTTGCTATGCTGATGAGTTGAAAGAAGGATTCTTTCCGTGGATTGATCAGGTCTTTCATAGTGGGCCTTGTTTTTTTCTTGCCTGGCTTTCTCTCATATGATACTTAAAAAGGTCATATTTTTGTGTAGGTTGCCCCAACTTTGGTTCCACTTCTTAAATTTTATTTCCATGAAGAGGTTAGGAAGGCGGCTGTTTCAGGTAGTATTGGTTTTTAATATTAGATATTCTTGTTTTCCCATTCCTCTTCACATGTTGTTGGAGGTTTGTTTCATTTGTTGATTAAGAAAGATCATCTTTTTGTTTCTAGCAATGCCGGAGCTACTGCTTTCTGCAAAATTAGCTATAGAGAAAGGGCAAGCTCAAGGTCGTAATGAAACCTATATAAAGCAATTGTCTGACTACATTGTCCCAGCTCTGGTGGAAGCATTACACAAGGTAGTTTATTGTTTGTCAATTAAGCCTCGATCAGGGGTGTAATGATATAAATTTGTCCTGATGTGAGTGCAATTTGTATGCAGGAACCTGATACAGAAATATGTGCAAATATTTTGGACGCATTAAATGAATGCTTACAGGTCGGCCATATTTTTAAGAAATTTAGTAAACTTCTTTTATGGCTTGGTTTGTTTAAGTTTTTGCACTTAGTCTGCATGAATTCACATTTTCAGTAGTTATGGAATTGGTTTTTTTTATTCCCTAGTACTCTGGAACAATGTTGTCAATTTACTTCTTGCTGGGTGCAAATAGACGACGCATCCAGAATGTAATTGGATGATGGATACCTCCTTGCCCTGTTTTGCTACTGTTATTCTTAATTTATTTTCTTTTCAAATGAAAAAAAAAATGGTTTGATTTGCAAGAACTTTAATAATTAAATCTGTCATTAAGATTTTGGGCCTTAACTTTGTGTTGGTGGCAGTCACTGCCGTATAATACTATATGGTTACTCTATTATTTTTGTTTGCATGGAAGATTCATGTAGCCACCCAACTGTTTCGGAATAAAATTTTATTCGAGTATGAATCCATCTTATATTGTGCCTTATTTCTTGAGTATGTATCCATTCGTGCTTGCTTTGTATCCTTTCTTTCAGATATCTGGACCACTTTTAGATGAAAGCCAGGTCAGATCCATTGTGGAGGAGATAAAGCTGGTGATAACTGCCAGTTCAAGTAGAAAAAGAGAGAGAGCAGAAAGGACCAAAGCCGAAGATTTTGATGCTGAGGAAGGGGAGCTCATTAAAGAGGAAAATGAACAAGAGGAAGAAGTTTTTGATCAAGTAAGTTTTTTCAAATACAATCCCTCAGTAGCACATCAATAATACTGATGTTTGTTTGTGGGGCCGTTGTTTGTGTATTGGGGATATTTTTGTCGTGGTTATTTTAAACACTATTTTCTGGTACCAGGTGGGAGAGATCTTGGGAACTTTGATCAAAACGTTTAAAGCCTCTTTCTTGCCTTTCTTTGACGAGCTATCATCATATCTGACACCTATGTGGGTAAGTTCTGTCTCAAGGAATCACTATTTTTATTTTTTTTCAGGTTCAGAGTTAACTTGTTCACTCCCTCTAATTATCATTTTGAGGGACCAGCATGCTCATTCGTACAATTGCCTAACTTATTATTTTGTGTTGCATGGTTTTGTTTTTCAACCTTTTTAGTTAATTTCTTATTATATTAATCATTTTGGGTCCTAAACGCAGGCCAAGGATAAAACACCTGAAGAGAGAAGGATTGCAATATGCATCTTTGATGATGTTGCAGAGCAGTGTCGCGAGGCAGCTGTAAAGTAAGCTCATTCTGTTAGAATTGTTTGGTTGAAATAATTCTTATTATTGTGAACTCATATTTGTTCTGATGTGTTTGGATCAGATATTACGACACATTTCTTCCTTTTCTATTGGAGGCTTGCAATGACGATAACCCTGATGTTCGACAGGTCTGATCTCACCAAACTGTTCTAATGTGTCAGGTTGCTTTTTCTCATAATTGTTATGTGATTCTTTTATTTTCCTTTCCTTTCCTTTTCAGGCAGCTGTATATGGACTTGGTGTCTGTTCAGAGTTTGGCGGGACAGTAATTAAACCTCTTATTGGCGGTAATTCTGCCTGCATATCTTAAATAGTTGGAATATTTATGTATGCTTATTATAGGTAACACTTTCTAGTGGCTTTATCCAGAGGCTCTTTCGAGGCTAAATGTTGTGATTCAGCATCCTAATGCCGTGCAACCGGAAAACCTAATGGCATATGATAATGCCGTTTCTGCTCTAGGAAAAATATGTCAATTTCATCGCGACAGTATTGATGCAGCTCAGGTACTTCCATTTATTTGATTTAGTCATAAATAGATTTATCAGAAGTTTTGTCCTTGATGCGGTGAAGGAACATATGTACAAAAGTACTGAATGAGTTACCAGAATAAGTTTATGTACTACTGTAGCGCATACAATGTACCCTAATAACTTTTGTAATACTATTGTTCTATTATAGCGCTTTAGTAAATTTAGGTTTTAGTCAAAAAAAAATTTCACTTTTGGAAAAAGCCAAAGCTTTTTCAAAAAAGACAGAAAAACCTCTCAACTTTCAAATCAAAGACATGCAAATGTAAAGGATTCCTTAGGAAATCCAAAAATAAATAAGGGCAATTTTGTCCATTTTGGCTTCTTTTACAAAATTTCTCTCCCCTTTGTGTTTTTCCAAAGTCTCCCTAGCTTTTCATCTTTTTCTATTTAAATTTATTGGTATCTTGCTTTTATTGGTCTGTTAATCTTTAATTTCTTTGCTCTATGGTTGTCAATTTTCTGGCATTTGGTAGGTTATTCCTGCATGGTTGAACTGTTTACCGATTAAAGGTGACTTGATTGAAGCCAAAGTTGTTCATGATCAGCTGTGTTCTATGGTAGAAAGGTAGAGCTTCAATTTTGTTTTAATTGTGCCATCTCCTATTACTTGTCTTTTCATATCTTTAAGCTTTGGAATACCATTACCAAGAAAATTTATAGAGGTGCACTGTTGTAATCCATCTACAGGTCTGACAGGGAACTTTTGGGTCCCAACAATCAGTATCTTTCCAAAATTGTCGCAGTGTTTGCCGAGGTTTGTGATCTATAAAATATTTTTGCACTCTTAATCTTAGTATAGTTTTTCCCAGTGGCCGAAGATCATGTTATTCAAATTCTTGTTTTCTCAATAATGCATAGCTTAGTATTCTATTCAGTCAGTTTATTTGAATACGTATATTTTATTAGTGATTGTTGTTGACATGACCAATTATGGGTACATCATTTATCATGTGGTATAGGTAAAAAGATGTACATCCTGGTTAATTAAGCAATATTCATGTGGCAAGATTGGGGACTGATTAACTAACAAGTAGAACCTAAATCTAATTGCTTTATTTTTCTCGTCTTGCTGATAATTGTAACAACCTGCAAAACAATATATTTGCGCAATAAGATGGCACCATTAAATGCAGATTCATTCAATGTAATACATCTTCAAGCTTCCCTGAATATTTCCTCTGAGGGGTATGATTGTTCCTGTAGGTTCTTTGTGCTGGTAAGGATTTAGCAACAGAACAAACTGCTAGCCGGATGATAAATCTATTACGGCAGCTTCAGCAGACATTGCCACCAGCTACCTTGGCCTCCACTTGGTCCTCCTTACAACCCCAGCAACAGCTTGCACTGCAATCTATCCTCTCCTCGTAGTATGTTGGCCTTGCAGTGTGCATATTGCTGCTTTCGGATACACCGTCCCTTTCTTGTGTGTTAGTTGCATCTGTCACCAATTCTTTTCCATAAGATGGTACCCATCAGTCATTTTTGCGTAAAGTTTTACAGCGAGCCAGCATCTGATTAAATGTGGAAGTCATCATTGCGATCTGTTCAATCAGACCCTTTTTTGTAGGATGTGTATATGCAAGTGTCAAGTGTTAATTATTAGTGCAATTTTGAGTCCAAAAGAAGAAAGGAAGGCAGGTAATTGTGGTTTGTGCGCTTGTTCTTTTTGGTTTTTGGTGGTGCCTAAGGTTCAGAGGGTGGTTGGTGAGAAAATTCTTGTATCAGTTTTGGTCTTGTGTTTTGGTGTTTCCTACGCCTCCATTATGAGAATCCGTTGACTAAACTTTCGATGGCAATTCTTTCATTATGTTTGCAATCTTGATCCCAAAAGGCAATAAATTGGCTTATGGTATGCTATTGTGTTGGATCCTTTTTTTTAGTGCAATGACACTCTATAATAATTCCGAGTGTGTTTGTGAAGAATCATGCTCTTCTTTGATTTGATTGTGCAGAGTAAATCTAAGTTTCTGTTACATTACGTACACATGATTTAGGATCACCCCAAAAATGATCATATTTTCTGATTCCATTACTTTAAGCAAGAATGCAAAATGAGAAAATGAGTTGCGGGGTAAACTTTATTGGTTGGTTCAACTCGTTTTAACTTGATGCAAAATGCTTCTGTTGGACGCGAACGATGAAGTTGAGCGTCATCCTCGTTTGATGACTCAGTCTGAACTGGACTATCTCAATTAAATTAGCTTAATATTCTTAAGAATTGGTTTGAACTCAATTTATTCTGTGTTTGTTTTTGGGCTTTTATCTTTTTATGAATACATGTTTAATTTGTATCGTAGGCAGCAGCGTGTTTGTTAACGCAATGCAGCAAGTGTTTGGTGTGTAATGTCAAAAGAAAGATTCCACCAAACACAGCGTGCACAATGAGATTCCCATCAAATTCTTTGTATACAAATCCAATGCGAGCTGTCGTTTCCCTTTCTATTACGCCATGTGTCATGCCTTCGTGCTCTCACGAATTTTGCTTCCTGGTTCCGTTGACCAAGTGGTGGTGAGGAGTGACGACAACTACTCCCGCCCTCTGCCCTTTGACTTGTCAAGTTGTCACTTATTTTTATCTTCTTTTTTATTTATTTAATATTTTATTTTTCTTTATACTTATTTATCTCCTTCTTAACTTATCACTCTGTGGGTTTTGGTGCTTGTATTATTTGGAGGCAAAGGCAAAAGATTTTCTATAAAAGAAAAGGAAATGAAGGAAAGGAATGGATTGCATTTCCCATGGAGACACAGAGAATAAACACGAGTAAAAATAACCAAATAACTAATGTATGATTTAGTCTTGAGCGAACTTCGATAATTCAGTCATCCTCAGTTAGAAACAAACTCAAATCGACATATGCTGACATGAGAAAGAAAACGAGCCACCCACTACTACTAACAAAAGCTTATATAACTCACAACCCACCATTTTGCTCTCTCATTCATTGACAAAATCTCTCTTCAACCAACATATCTGCCATGGAAGAAGAACATGAAGAAGCCCCAAAGCAGCAAAAGGAAAATGGGTTCTCAGTCTCAGCCAACAAACAAAGCAAGTTGAAGACCAAATGCAAGTTCGTTGGGGTGAGACAGAGGCCATCAGGGAAGTGGGTGGCAGAGATCAAGGACACAACAAAGAAGATAAGAATGTGGCTGGGAACCTTTGAGACTGCTGAGGAAGCTGCTCGAGCTTATGATGAAGCTGCTTATCTTCTTCGTGGCTCCAACACCCGAACCAACTTCTCCACTCACGTCCCTTCCAATTCTCCACTCTCTTTGAAAATCAGAAACCTCCTCAACCACAAGAAAAGTTTGAATTTGAAGCAAAAACAAAGCCCTCCACCAACCCCCAACAGCAGCTTAAAATCCACCCCTATAGCTGCTACAACTACTAGAATTAGTTCTAGCTCTAGCATTTGTAGCAGCAATATTCAAGCGTTTAGTGACACTTCATCAGCCAACTGCAATGCTAATTCTAGTTCTTCTCTGCCTTGCTACAAAAGCCAGGACATTCAAGCGTTTGATGATGCATATAGACCAGACCTTAGCAACTGCATTGGGGAGCTTCAACCGGCTATGTTTCATTTGGATCAGTCATGGCCGTTCCTAGCTGGGTTTGATCAGCTTCCACTAACCCATGAAGGGATGGACTTAACAAAAGGCACTGGTAATGTTGCAGCAGCAGAGGCAGAGGCAGAGGTGACGGAGTTTGAGCGCTTAAAGGTAGAGAGGCAGATATCAGCTTCGATTTATGCAATGAATGGAGGGAATGAGTATGTGGACAATGAGTACGATGGAAGTGATGCTTTATGGGATCTTCCTACTCTCTCGCAGTTGTTCTGCCTTGGCTGATGTGATAATGGCTGGCTGGCTGCTAATCTTTTCCTCTCTTTTCTCCGAGTTTTATAGTTTTGAATGAGTCAGTCTCTTGAGAGAAATCATGTTTAGAGCAAGGCTCTTAAAAGCATGAAAATTATAGGAACCTGTATGATATTAATAGTTTGTAATATAATTATCTGCTGTTGCGGATTTGTTTCAGCCTGTATGATTAACAATCGCTTTGATATTGGTGGTTGAAAATTGAAGAAAACCATTCTCAAAAGTTAAGGACAGGTTTAGATTTCTTTTTCATTCTCAATTTACACTACTTCAATCAGCCTTTTAATGATCATGATCACTGCAAATTCTGTCAATGCCTCAATGCCGCGGAGGTTCAGCAGGTTCGAAAAATCGGCCTAGGCGGCCGCCTAGGAGCTAGGCGGGAGGACACCGCCGAGACTTCACCCTACTGGTTAGGGGTAGGCGCCAGGGAGTTAGGCAGCGCCTGGGCACCCACCAAGGCAGCCTAGGCGGGCTGGTGGCCCTCCTAGGCGGCCTAGGCGGCCTGGTGGCCCTCCTAGGCGGCCTAGGCGGCCTGGGCGGGTGTTTTGTCGTTGAAGCGCCGACGAGGCGCGGTTGAAGCGCGCAGGAGGCGGCGACGCGTAAGGATGCGCTGAGGTGCTGCTTGTTAGGAAGAAAGACTGAGAGAGAGAGAGAGAGATGAAATCGAAACAGAGAGAGGAAGGAGAAGGCGGCGCTGGGAAGAAGAAGATATCTGTTTTTTTTTTTTTTTTTTTTTTTGGTTTTTTTTAAATAAATTTATTTTTTTTATTGATTGGGTTTTGTAAAATGGGTTTGTAAAAAAGAAAATACAAAAGTAAAAAAGTCAGATATATATCAAGGTTCGAAAATGTTCAAAGTTTTGTTTTATATATTCTTTTATTTTGCATGATTTTGGTCTATAATTGCGCATCCTTATGGTTTCCCAAAAGGATGATTTTGCTTAAAACCATATATTAAGTAATTTGGGAGTTCATCTACCCGAACCCGAGTCCTCATTTTTCTATTTAGGTGTCAGCTGTTACAGACCAAGCTGGAATGCAAGATCTTGGAGCAAATGCTGGTGATTTTGATGACGATGAAGGTGGTGGCTTGGTTGGTTACATCTTTCCTTTTATGTTTTTATTTTCTATTAACACAAAGAATTTGTGGACTGATATGATTGCTAAGAACTGTTTGCTCTGGCTGAGTAATATCTGGGAATAATTGTTGAATGTATGGAAGCTGCTGCTGCTCCGTTGCCTTTAAGCTTTTTTGCTGCTTGATGCTTATGGTATCTTTAGTTGGTTCGATTGGCTTAGTATCTTCTGTGTTTATTGTTCTCCTATTTATTTGAGTAGATATATATTTCTTACTTTTTAACTCATAGGAGAAAAATATGGTCAAAAAATAATTTGAACTACCATCTCGTGTACTCCTGCCAGCTTTTTAACCTTTGATATTGGAAAGATTGCTCATTTAAGAGATTTTTGTTTGCTAGCAGATTATTGCTTTAACTAGTAAGATATGTGTTAGTATGAAATTTGTATTGTCATTTCCTAGACTCTAGCATAGGTTGGGAGTTAGTGTGTGAATATCGTTTACTAGACGTTTTGGCGCAACACATTCAATCCCAGGTTTCCAAAGCATGACTTGACCGATATGAGGAATCTGATTTCAGGTAAATCATGACATAATCATGCATTCATTATAGAATTCCTAGTTTGAGTTATTTTCACTCAAAGTATTTTTATCTTAATCTTATTTTTAATAGGATTAGATTTTATTTCCTAATATTATTTCCTACTTGTTTGGGCTTATTAATTTGTGAGGTAGATATTGGTTTAGAAGATGGGCTGGAGTAGAAAGTCCTCTCATCGTGCATTAGCTGGCATGAATCACATGGCATGTAAATTGAATCAAAAGAAATATTCTTGCTTGAATAGTTTGTGTGGTCTTTTGGTTGGTTGTTGCCAACTAGTTTTCATATTGCATCAGGTTTTGGGTAGTAGTAGTTGAATAGGATTAAAAGTCTTTGGTGAATGGATTTGGTTGTCACGTAGGTTCTTGAGTAAGAGAACCTGTTTTGAATAAAACCTAAGTGTCTTCTTTTCACAAGTGTAGCTTTTTAACGTATTGGTTTTCTTTGGAAATATTGAATCTGTTTTGCAAAAGCTGCTGTGCTTATTTTCTTAGATAAGTCATCAAGTGTTCCTTGTTTACTTGGTGATTTATCAAATCCTTTCTTCATTCATATTGCATACATATGCATGTCGGTGACTCATACGGTTGAGGGCACCAAGACTGTGGTGGCGGTTTTCCTCCAGTGAGCTTGAAGCAATCGTGGCCAGTATTGCGTTCAACATAAGGAGTGTCGAAGATCATCCCGTGACAGAAGTTGAGTTACGAAGAAGTCGGTAAACATTATCTAGAATGTGTCTAAGATAAGTGTGTGAGTACTTCTTGTAATCATCGTTCTATAGTGGATTTGTGTTGGACTGAGGAGTCCCGTGGATTTTCCCCAGAGGTGGGGTTTTACCACGTAAAATAATTCTCTGCGTGTTCTTTTATTTTATGCCCAGCACGTTACAGGATTGATAAGCCATATCAATCCTGCTACCGAAGTTTATTTTTATTTATTTGATTAGAATTTTAAATTGGCCTATTCACCCTCCTCTAGGCATTTTGAGTCATCCTGCAGGTATTTTCAATTGGTATCAGAGCAGGTTGCTGGACATACTCAGCAAGATCTAACATACCTTAGGATGGATCGTGCCTCGGGCTCAATTGCACATCCACCATATTTCGATGGCAACAACTATGGCGCTTGGAAGGCCAAAATGAAGTCGTTTCTTTGGTCCTTAGATGAACGTGTATGGAGCACAGTGGTTCATGGATTTCCTAAACCCACAAAGACGATCGGAAAAGGAGATGAAGAAACCACAGTCCTCAAAACTAGAGAGGAGTGGACCACTGCAGAAGTCACACACAGCACTAATAATCAAAAGGGGTTAAATGCTTTATTTACTGTTGTCTCTTCCGATCAATTTGAATATATATCTGCTTGTGATACTTCTAAGGAAGCTTGGGATATTTTGCAGGTTACTCATGAAGGAACAGATACTGTCAAGGGAGCCAAGCTTCAAATGCACACTTTACAGTTTGAGACACTTATGATGGATGAGAATGAAACTTTTTCTGAATTTTATGCTAAACTTTGTGTAATTGTGAATGCTTGTTCAGGTTTAGGTGAAAAAATTCCAGAAGATAGAGTTGTGAAAAAGATTTTGAGATCCTTGCCTCAACGGTTTCAACCAAAGATCACGGCTATTGAAGAGATCCGTGACTTGAACACCTTGAAAGTTCAAGAACTCATAGGGTCCATACAAACCTATGAGATGAAACATCTACCTCCTAAAAAGAGCAAAAATGTTGCGTTCAAGGTTGTGAATGAAGAAGATGATGGGCATTCAAATGAAGATTGCAGTGATGAGGAATTAACGATTCTCACAAGACGATTCATGAACTTTCTCAAGAATCAGGATCCAAGGAGTCGAGATTCAAAAAGTATAAATTCTAAAAATAGGTTTGTTAACTATACTGATGGTGGATCTAAATTTCGCAGGTTAAATGAACGAAAGAATCCAAGAGAAAAGGTCAAATGTTTCGAATGTGAAGGCTATGGACACATATCTTCGGAATGTGCCAACACCTTAAAGAAACAAAAGGATGGCAATAATAAGGCAATGCATACTACTTGGAGTGATAGTGAATCGGAATGCGAGAATGATGAAAAGACGGTTGCACTTATAACCACAGTTAGCTTGGATGAATCACGTGAGGATGATGATTGTAAAGGTATAAATATTGAGTTTATCATGAACAAATATGATGATTTGTTGGCTGCATCTCAGAAGCTCAGTAAACAAAATAGTGAGCTCGTCAAAGAAGTTGCTGTGCTGAAGCTGGAAAATTGCAGGATTGCAAACGAGTTTCAATCCCCTGATGCAGATTCCGAAAAGGTAAGTGCAGGTATGAACGAAAAATTGATGTTTTTGCAGAAAAAATTGACTGATCAGAATAAATTAATTGCTTCTCTAACTTCTGACAACAAAGCCCTTGAACTTGAACTTAAAAATTCAAAAGAAAGGATTGTTTCTTTAACCATTGGTGCAGAAAAAATTGACAAGATGATTAGCATGGGACGAAGAGATGGTGACAAACGAGGCTTGGGATTTGAACCAAGTAATAAGTCTTCCGCTGTGTCTAAAACAAAGTTTGTCAAATCCACTTCACCTATTGAACCTTCTGCCTCTCATGAAGTCAAGAAATTTATTCCAATTTGTCACTTTTGTGGAACTCGTGGGCACATAAGACCGAGATGCAATAAGCTTCGAAACGAATTTGTTCGTTCAAATTCTCATGGCATGGGTGGAAAAGTAAGTATCCAACATAAGATTTCACATCTTATGAAAGAGGTAAACCGCTTATCCAAACTATCTTCTTTTCATTGTTTGCCGTCAACTAAGACAAAGTTAGTTTGGAGGAAAAAGGAAAATCATAATTGTATGTCTTCCTCCACTAATGTTGTGCATGAACCCGTTGCTTTAGAAAGTTTGGATCTTAAATGTATTGCTGCAAAACCCTTGGATAATCTTCGATTTGACACTCTTAGAAAGTCTTTAGGTATATGTGGTCTAGATTAATTTGGAGTCTATTGCATGCCAAAGCCTCTTTCATGTTTTATGATATTTCAATTAATTTCTGTGTTTATAAATCTGTCCAGCTCGTGCAAGGATTGTTAAGGTGTATCAATCCTGTAACTGTCTGAACGTATTTGTTGATCTTAGATTGGGCTCTGACATTGCACTATATTAAGAACTTACACTCTCAGCTTCACACAAAGGTTTCCATTGTCTTGGTGCATTATAAACTTCATTAAATGATCTATCCATCTATTTTTTTTTATTTTGCACACCACACTCTTTTCCTTGAAGTCCTTTGAATATCTCTTATCATGCACTTGTCTCTCTTTGGATTGCCATAACACTACTGTGCGTAAGTTCTTGATCTGTTTATAAAAATAAAATAAAAAATAATAATTAAAAAAAAAAAAAGAAAAAGGGTGTCAACCACTCATTGCTCAGTAATCGGGCCTCTTGTCTAACCAACGTCGAGGTTCGAGTCAACAGGTTGTGATGGTTTGCTATCCTTGCTTATCTTTGGAGCCTTCATGATTCGGATCAGTATTTCCCCAGGGGTGCTTCATCACCCAGTTGCCTCCAGTCATCTGACGTAAGCACACTGATTGACCATCCGTTACATGGATCATGTCGAAAGCTAGATAAAGTGAGCCACAAAATTCGTATTAAAAAATATATATATAAATTGATCTTCTTATACTTACTATGCACTTAGTGTTTGTGCAATCTTTGGTGGGATTCGTCTTGTGTGGACATATTTTTTGTGCTTAATTGAAAAAGAGTTCATTTAACACATTTGCTCCTTGATGGTAGACTCATTTGATGCCTTTTTATCTTTCACCATGACTGTGGTATGCCTCTACTGTTCTTTGTGAGTTTGTGAGTCTCGTGTGCTGTCGTGTGTTTGTCCCTGACATGCTTTGCTTCACATGCGTTCAAGACAGCAAAGGGTTTGTTGCTTCTTTCATTCTTTACTCACAAACTTGGCATGTTTATGAATGGAAAATAATTATATTTTCAAGAGAACTTTGGGTCTGCATCTACAGTATGTTTTATGTCTTGATTGTTTTGAGCTTTCTGTCTTGAGTGTATTGCTTTTGTTTTTGTATGTTTTGGTTCTTAACAACTTCTCATTATTCTTTTTAGTTCTCTATTTTCCTGTCGCTTATCCAAAAAAAAAAAAAAAAAAAAAAAGAAAAAGAATTTTCTGTTTGTTTTCAAGATAAAGCCTCTTACATGCTTTATTGGTCATTCTCTATGTCTTTATATGTTGGGAATGCAATCTGATTTTTTTTATTTTTATTTTTCTTTCCCTCTTATATATGCTCCCTTATGTTCATTCTTTGCCCTTTGGATTTCCTGACAAAAAGGGGGAGAGATTGTGTTATGGAATTAAGGGGGAGTTGTGTTGTAATTCTGCTTTGAATTACATTTCTTCTCCCACATGCTTCACTGGTTTTGTTGTTTCATAATGTGCAGGGATTCAGGGCTTCAAGCTTAGAATAAGAATTCATTTTTTAAATCCCATGTAATTTCTTTTGAGTTGTAATAGGTGTTTTGTCTAGGAAATGCCAAAGGGGGAGATTGTTAGTATGAAATTTGTATTGTCATTTCCTAGACTCTAGCATAGGTTGGGAGTTAGTGTGTGAATATCGTTTACTAGACGTTTTGGCGCAACACATTCAATCCCAGGTTTCCAAAGCATGACTTGACCGATATGAGGAATCTGATTTCAGGTAAATCATGACATAATCATGCATTCATTATAGAATTCCTAGTTTGAGTTATTTTCACTCAAAGTATTTTTATCTTAATCTTATTTTTAATAGGATTAGATTTTATTTCCTAATATTATTTCCTACTTGTTTGGGCTTATTAATTTGTGAGGTAGATATTGGTTTAGAAGATGGGCTGGAGTAGAAAGTCCTCTCATCGTGCATTAGCTGGCATGAATCACATGGCATGTAAATTGAATCAAAAGAAATATTCTTGCTTGAATAGTTTGTGTGGTCTTTTGGTTGGTTGTTGCCAACTAGTTTTCATATTGCATCAGGTTTTGGGTAGTAGTAGTTGAATAGGATTAAAAGTCTTTGGTGAATGGATTTGGTTGTCACGTAGGTTCTTGAGTAAGAGAACCTGTTTTGAATAAAACCTAAGTGTCTTCTTTTCACAAGTGTAGCTTTTTAACGTATTGGTTTTCTTTGGAAATATTGAATCTGTTTTGCAAAAGCTGCTGTGCTTATTTTCTTAGATAAGTCATCAAGTGTTCCTTGTTTACTTGGTGATTTATCAAATCCTTTCTTCATTCATATTGCATACATATGCATGTCGGTGACTCATACGGTTGAGGGCACCAAGACTGTGGTGGCGGTTTCCTCCAGTGAGCTTGAAGCAATCGTGGCCAGTATTGCGTTCAACATAAGGAGTGTCGAAGATCATCCCGTGACAGAAGTTGAGTTACGAAGAAGTCGGTAAACATTATCTAGAATGTGTCTAAGATGAGTGTGTGAGTACTTCTTGTAATCATCGTTCTATAGTGGATTTGTGTTGGACTGAGGAGTCCCGTGGATTTTCCCCAGAGGTGGGGTTTTACCACGTAAAATAATTCTCTGCGTGTTCTTTTATTTTATGCCCAGCACGTTATAGGATTGATTAGCCATATCAATCCTACTACCGAAGTTTATTTTTATTTATTTGATTAGAATTTTAAATTGGCCTATTCACGCTCCTCTAGGCATTTTGAGTCATCCTGCAGGTATTTTCAATATGCATTGTCTCTCAAGGCATTGCAGCCATCAGCACTGCAAAGCCAAGTGTGATAGTTTGGCATAGAAAGAGTGTCTGCACTGCATAATTTTTGTTGTTGACCTGAGTGAAGGTGATTGACGTATTGTTTTATTAATCTTACAGTCATTGAATGCCCCCTCTCGATCAATTCTCATGCAGAAATTGGATCGCAGTGGCTCTGGATCAGGGTTGGTATTTTCTGAGCACTAAATTCTTTTTTTGAATTGTTTTAGTTGGTCTTACATTGGCTTTGTATGCAGTATTGCTGGTCCCCTAACCTAGGCACTCCCGCTGTCAATAGCACCGGCGGTGTTTCTTTACCAACGGCACCATTCCTGGGAGCTGCACTAGTGGTTTCTCCTCTTGTTCCTCAAATCACCACTGTTTCTGGTATCGCTGGACTTGGTGTTGCTATTCCTACTGCTACTCTTCCTTCTATAGAGACAATTGGTGTTCCAAGCGAATTGTCTACTGGACTGCTGATCCTGGGCCTAACCCTGCTATTATATGTGAGGAAGAACCAGCAACAAAAATATGGTAAGCTATTTGATTTTGTACTCTTCTGCCCCTCCATTTTCTAAGATAGGTAGGTTCAGTTCTATAGAAATTTTTTGCTGTTGCCTCTCTGGTTTCTAAGCTAAGGTTCCATGCTACATTATTTACTTCACTACGTACTTCACAGGAGAACTGAAGCCCGGCCAAAAAGAAGATCTGGAATTACCATTATTTGACTTGGCCGCTGTTGTTTGTGCAACTAAAAACTTTTCAAACAACAATAAACTTGGAGAAGGTGGTTTCGGATCAGTCTTTAAGGTAAAATCAAATATAGTCCTCCCTACAGTTGGCTTGACAGCTTCCACATGTCATTTGGGTCGGGACTATGGATACAAGTCGTATATTGAACGTTTGCAAACAACAGAGTACGGATTTTGGTCATCATATATGGCTAATGGATTTCAGGGTACATTAAAAGATGGACAAGAAATAGCTGTGAAAAGGCTCTCAAAACATTCTAGACAAGGACTCAATGAGTTGAAGAATGAGGTTACACATGAAGAGAAACAGAGGATTTCATTGAGTTGAAGAATAGGTGTGTTGGTGCTAGAGATAGCGAGTAGGAAGAGGAACAGAGGATTTACTCATTACTTGTTTCTGTTTCTTCTTTTAATTAAGCACAATGGTTTTGAACTTTTGATCAATTCTTTTAGGCATGGATGCTATACACAGAAGGCAGGTCCATTGAAGTGCTTGATACATCAGTAGGGGACTCCAGTGATCCACATGAAGTTGTGAGATCAATTCATGTAGGTCTTTCAAGTGTGCAGCATAACCCGGCAAATAGACCGAGCATGCCAGCTACAGCTGTAATGCTGAGTGGTGAAGGGTCATCGCCTCAACCTCAAAAACCTGGTTTTTATAGTGAAAGGGATCTCAATGAACTGGAAGTCGATCCTTCCTCTAAAGCATTTTAGCTAATGCAGTCACAGTCCTTTTACACTAATAGAGGCTCGATAAACTATATTTCATGTTGGCGTGTTAATCTGGTGCTTTTGAAGGCAGTTTGAAAAGTTAAATACAATTAAGAGATTCCCAACCCATGCGTTAGCAAATGCACCCTCTAATTTTTATTTTTATTTTTTCTTCGGAGTTGAGGTGGAGTTCACACTGCACAAACACAGATGCTAATACAAGAACAAATATAAAAGCTTAAATGAATTAGATTTTTCACTTGAGGTGGTGTAATATTTCAAAAAAAATTATGTTCTTTGGTGGGTGGGTTTTGTGTTCCTACGCAAGAGGAGGAGGAGACAAATCTCTTCTTTTTTTTTTTTTTCTATCAGCAAACAAGAGGGCATGATCAAATGTCAAAATCTATAACAGAAATGCAAAATCCAAAGAATGAAAAGCAGTCCAACCAAGAAGAACCATCAATGGATGAATATCGAATGCATAAAGATTTATCAAGTTTCAAGCAAAAAGAACCAAACCAATCAATCTATTGCTTAACCAAACCAGAAATAAATAGTCAGAATTTGAGATTGGGGCCTAAAAATGTACCTTGTTATTGGCAAGACCATAGAAAACTCCATGATAGGATAGCTTCATGCCGTCAATGCGAAGAGAGAAGAGAATAAGGCGGAGTTGGCAGAGGGAGGAATTGTCGTACATGTGGTTTGGGAGAGAGCCTAGAGAGAAGAGAATAAGGCGGGAAACAGGGAAAGGAATAGAAATAGATGAATTAAGAGTCTCATGATCTCTTCTTCTATGGACCTGACTTGTGCTTGCTTCGGCTTCCCAATCTCAATCTCAAGCTCAAATTTGTAGCTAAACTTCTTCAATTTCGGGTTTCAGACTTTCAGTCAATCGCAGTGTTCAGAAAATCGGCCTAGGCGGGGGCTAGGCGGCTAGGTGGGGTGCTAGGCAGCTGGGCGGGCCTCCTAGGCGGGTTGGGTCTTTTTTTGGTGGCGAACCCGGAGGACGAAGCAATCGAAACTGATCAAAGCTTGAGTTGATAGAGAAGCGAAATGGCTGTGACGGGGTCTGCAACCTCCGTCCTCTGTGAGTGCAAGCTTCGTGTTCGTTTGGATTATATTTAAAGATTATAGCCGCACGGCTATACTTTTAAAATATCCGAATTTTTTAGAACGTACAGCCGTGCGGCTATAACATTTTAAATATACAATTTTGTCATATCATTTTAGGGTTTAGGGTGGGCTAGAGTTATTTCTTCAATTATTTTATGTATACAAGCGATATTGGGGAATGAGAATTTAAATTCTTTATGATACCTCCCATTATAACGATTCCAGTTATTAGCCCTTTGGGCAAGAATAAAAAATGAATTTATTTCTAACAAATAATACAAGTTAAACTCATAAATACCAAGAATAATAATAATAATAATAATAAAAGGTATCCACCAACATTTTGTGGATCAAAGAATTTTGAATTTCATAGTATAAAATTGCTTGTATATCAATTTACTTTCTAAAATGTATCCGTTGTAATTATGAACTAAACCCAATTGCAACATTTTTTTGTCATTGCACTTGACGACCATGCTCTTCTGCTATGAGATATGTCAGTTGAAAAATTGGATATAAAACAATCTAACGAGACAGCGAAGGGAAGTTTGCAGCTCTATTTTGAAATTAATTGAAGGTATCATAGGTCATATGACATTGATATATGAACTATTCTAAATGAGAATTCAAACAACATGTGTTAGATGAGAAGTTGAAGCGCTCAGGATCTTGTAGTGAAGGCATCATCGCTTCCACACCGAGAAGTCTCTCAAGTCGTCTTCGATCTGTAAAGAGATACTATCATACATCAAAAGCTCAGCTCGGTCATCGAGAGGCATTTTACCTCGCAAATAGAAATATCCGAGTTTTATGTGGGGAGTTGCATCTCTTGGACAACTCCTTCCTAGGACCTTGGTTCCCTTTATCCCCACTTACATTTTGTGAATTTGGTATGCTAGCTGCATGCCAAAACTTGTATATGTTGCTTGTGTTTGTTATACCAAATACCAATTGGATCATGTTTGTGAAGAAAAAAAAAGGGCATATCAATGTGCACCTAAACTGAGGCAAAAATCCAATATAATTGTATACAATTCCATGTGCTTGCCAATCTGAAACTTGACCCATGCATATGCAATGTCTTTGGGTTTCAAAAATAGAAATCCATGAGATTTTGAAGGTGAATATGAATCTGCCAATACTTCATCAACCAACTCCAAACCCCTTCCTTCATTCCATAAGTGCCATGCCTAACAAAATTTCATGTATGTTGGCCAGTATTGTTAAACTCTGCTGCATTTAGCTTCATATAGTTGCTTAAGCTGTATGAAAGATACGATTTTGCATTAAGATTTAGAGTGTGAGCTTACATAAGCTAGGAAGCCTATATGTTGGTCACTGGAATAGAAGTTGGTATTCCTTTTGCCACTAATAATCTCCAATTGCAAGAACCCGAAGCTGTAGCCATCAGATTTTTCAGAAAATATACCGCCCATGGCATACTCTGGAGACATATAGTCACTGCACAATCAATTGAGAACTGATGAAACTGCTTTTTTGTTTATAGTCTTGAGAAAAATTATAACAGAAAAGTTAAATCTAAACGCCATGCAATGCAACTAATTTTTAGTTAATTATGAACACGAACAGAAGGGAATTGGAGTCAGTTAAAATTGCAGGGTTGTAAATTGAAGTGCTAGTACACCTCGATTTACCAACATGTTAATCCCAATGTTCGAAAAATCACTATACAGTAAGGGGGCGGCAGGCAAGGGCCTAGCGCCTAGAGGAGTAATGGGGGTCTATGCGAGTGCCCTATGCTTTTTTTAATAAATTATTTAGTATTAAAAATTATAAATTTATACCAAAATCATGAAAAATAAAAGGATATATAAATTATATATTAAACAAATAGTATAATATTTCTTTGATTTAAAATATTAAAATATTTATTTGTTATTTGTTACTTATTAGTGGTTACTTTAGTGATTTCATAATGCAAAATCCATTTAATGTTGTATTTTATGAAACCCAGGCCTTTCTCTCCCGCCAAGCCCCTTTCTAAACCCTAAACGTAACTCGCAACCTCTCTTCTTCTTCAATCCTTTTTTTTTCTCTCTCTCTCTCTCTCTCTCTCTCTCTCTCTCTCGCCTCAGCACCATCGTCATCTCGTCCAAGACCTTGGAGTTCCAAAATGGCCCTTTTTTTTTCTTCTAGGCACCAGCACCCGCCTAGACCGCCTAGCCTGCCTTGCCCTCGCCTAGCCCGCCTAGCCCTCGTCTAGCCCCCGCCTAGCCCGCCTAGCCCCACCTGGCCAGCCTAGCGCCCGCCTAGACCCCGCCTAGGCCGCCTAGGCAATTTATTCAACTCCATTAAATGCTTTTTTTAAAGGTTTATGGCTGTGCTGCACTGAGTGATTCAACTGAATAATGCCTGGGGCATGGTCAGATAGTCCATTTCCTCTGTCGATTGTAATGACGGTATGCACAACTCTTGGGGCAGTAGCCCTGCCTCTTCTACTAACAAAGATATTGGCAGGGACTTACATCCCTGTGGATGCTGCCAAACTGTCAATCAGCACCATGCAGGTTAAGTTAAATATAATAAACTTCAGTAATATTATATTATCCATCAGCTGGGGCTTATGGTCTCTATTCTGTCATATGTAGGTCGTTGTTGCTCCAATTTGTTAGGTTCTTATATGCAAAGTGCATTTCCTGCAGTGGTTAAAATTGTGATACCTTTTGCACCACTTTTTGCTGTTCTAGCTGCATCACTGCTTGCATGCTGGTACATTTGTTGTGCATATAAATATCTTTTAATTACTTATATGTAAAATATGATTGTCTTGCCTGTGGTTCCTTCCAAATGTGCTCTCTTTCTCAAACATACTAGATTTCATTTTGTGGGCCAGTGTATTCTCTGAGAATGTTGTCCGTCTCAAAGCTTCAATGGTTGCTGTAACATTGCAGGCTGATCTGTCTCTAATGGCTCATGCTCAGACAGTGTTATCTGGAGAAATTGGGGTGGTTATTCTTTCTGTGCTGTTAGTACATATTGCTGGTTTCTTTGCGGGGTAAGTTGCCTTTAACTGTTGGTGACTTTAATTGTTAAGTGTGTTGTTGTGGAAAAAGCTCAAGGTAATGTACACAATTTTTTTCAGTATGTAAAGATTCACTCTAATTTAAGCTCAAAAATTCTAAAAAAAATTACATTGTAGCCTTGTATTAGTGTATTATTACTGTTTGATTTAGCTTCAGTTGAGTTTGATATATAAATTATAGAGTGAAGTTAACTGTACTTTGAAAAAACAAAGTATTCATAATTTGTAAGCAACAGTTGAGAAACTATAGTTTGCTGTCATTATGACTTCATAGCCATAAAAGCTATTGCAGTAAGAAAGTATATATTCAATCTTCTTTGTCTATGTGGATTTTAATTTGACATATGAAGATAGAAACTAGTCTTGTAGACGAGCATTGTTGGCAGAGTTTGCACTCATACAAATATTCTTTAAGGTTGTGGTGCTGTGCCTGTTTGTTTAGTTTGTTTTGGAGTTTTTGCGGTGCAAATGTGCAACTTGAGGAGTCTTTTTTTATTAGGGAGAGTCTTAATTTGCAGGTATATATAAGAAGTTGTTTGCGGGTTTAGAGAAGCACAAAGACGAGCAATATCAATTGAGGTATTAATCAAATAGAATGTAAACTTTAAGACATGATCTAGCTTTCTGTGAATCCTTGTGTTCCAGTTTTGTTTCGGCTTTGGTCAATTTGGTAATAAAGATATAAAAATTCTCTTCTTAAACTTTATTGTAAGTCCATAGAAGATCTTCATTGTTTTATGCTCAGATTGAAATGTCGAAACTTTCATAAATTTTGGTGGGCATGCAACACTAATCCTTCATTCACATGTTCGACACTCGCAGGTTGGTATGCAAAATTCTTCTT